CACCACAGAAGCAATCATGGAGGCAAGAAGAAACCAACGTACGAGTTTTGCGGCTTTTCTGGCTGCCAATCCATCTCTGGGCAGAATTCAAAGTGATGGTTCTAACCTGTAAATCCCTAAATGGCTTCTGCCCAAGAAATCTCAAGGACTGCATCGCCGTTTATGAGCCTGCTTGAGTGTTAAGATTTTTGGGAGACACTTTCCTCTCAGTCCCATTGCTTTCACATGTGCGTTTAGTGGGGACATGGGAGAGGACCTTCTTTGCTGCTGCTCCCAGACTCTGGAGCATCCTCCCACAGGAGATTAGATGGTATCCCTAAATGGCTTCTGCCCAAGAAATCTCAAGGACTGCATCGCCGTTTATGAGCCTGCTTGAGTGTTAAGATTTTTGGGAGACACTTTCCTCTCAGTCCCATTGCTTTCACATGTGCGTTTAGTGGGGACATGGGAGAGGACCTTCTTTGCTGCTGCTCCCAGACTCTGGAGCATCCTCCCACAGGAGATTAGATGGTACCCTGGTGCATGTGCAGAGGCTAGAATGTTAAAACTGTGAGTGCAAAACCTGGTAGCCTTCATTATTTTATTAGACTTACAGTGAAAGGTTAAAATATTTTAAATCAATGGACAGTTAAAAACAGCACAGTAGTGGGGAGTCTTGTTTCCATCAAGATAATGGTCCTCTTATGTTCTACACTAGATGCCATAAAGTCCACCTAAGATTCACCTATCTAGGAAACTGAATGTTAACTCCCTGGGACAATTGCTGGAATCCATTTGGGAATAAGGAAACAAAACGGAAGGCAGCAAGGGGATGAGATTACCGGGGAGAAGGGAAGGGAAAAAAAGAGAATGGTTTGACTCAGATATGTGGGAAGTGGGTTTTCCAGAAATTCATATTGCTGTTTCCTTCACTCCAAAGCTCAAAACAGCGATGGGGAAGGAGAAAATAAAAATGGAATGGGTTTCTACTTTTTTTCCTAGTAAGCCTTTGTCATAGTCACCCAACTCAAAGGACAATTTAACATCAATTTTTTAAAAATTGCTACTACAACTTAAAGTTAAATTTCTGGGTTCACTAACAGTTAATTAAATCATTAACTCTTTTCTTATACAGTAATCTCCCATTCCATTAAATGCCCTCCCAGAATGGAAAATGAAGCTGGAAGCCCTTCCTTTAGCCATAACTCTAGGTTTCTGGGCTTCCTGCCTTGTTATTTGAAAATATGTCACTACAAGAACTTTGTGAGGTAATTAACCTCAATGAAATGATGGTAGAACAGTGTGTTCTGATACACATCTGTTGTCCATGAGTTTGAATTAGTTTGCCATGATGGTTTAATCGCATAAAGAAAGCCTTTGTGGACACGAGGTGTCAAATAGCATCCCTTTGCCTCAGAGGAGAGAGAGGGATGTCATATGTACCCAGTTCCAGTCTCACCTTTCACACTTGCAACTGCTTGTCCAAGGAAATTGACTCTGGCTGGTGCAAGCCAATTCAAGTCAGGCTTCCCAGCAAGATGTCCAGCTGGTGTGCATGAGGTGGGCAGGTGGCAGACACAGACCTATATAACGATGACAACTCGGTCATCTCAGTTCAGCTCAGGGGACAAAATCGAATGTAATTTCACACGGGAGGCCACCCATCTGGATTATAAAGTGTGAAATTACAGTCGTCCCGCAGACTGGGGTAGTGCTTGACCTGCAATCCCATATTCATTTACAGTACTTCTGAGTACTGTACTACTGAATTTATTATTCAGTTTAGTGAGAGCTTTGGAAAGCTGTATTTTGGGGCTACAATTCCCAGAATTCTTCAACCAATATGGGGAGAGTCATAGTCCCAACTGAACCAACAAAAATAATTTTTCCAACTTTGTATAAAATTGAATGATCAGGTTGTAATCCATTTCACACTTATTTTGAAGTTGTTCCAGTGGATTTAGTGGAACTTTCTTCTGACTTAATGTTTACAACATTGAAAAAATATGGTATTTCTGTATTTGACAGTTAACCCCTATTGAACTTTGAAAAGTGAATTATAGCTTAGAGGAAGAGCAATTGCTTTGCACTTACGTGGATTATTCCAAAATCAGTTTCCTAGCCTTCTATCTGAGAAACAAGCAAGCATCTTGGAAATGTTAGATTTCCTGGAAAGGCAGTAACCTAAATTTCAATATCCAAAGAAACACCCAGATGTTTCTTTGGATTGCATGCTTACTTATAAGAAACATTGCTAAAATACATAGCAAAAGGTCTCCATAAGAAACAATCGTCTTTGGAAGTTATTGGCCAAGAACCACAAACACTAAGTACTACAGTATAGCCTTAACGCTATGCTACTCTACAGGAGAATACACCAGCCCTGCAGTGACACAATTCAGCCCACACAAAAGAGATAGACATAGCGCTCAGTAAAAGTTGTAGAATCATCACAAGATGCCAGAACCCAACCTCTGTTAATGAAATCAATAACCCAGAGGCGGTGAGGCAGGGGGTAGGGTTGGCAGAGTGTGGAAGGTGGGCCTCTGCATGTCTTAAAGCCTCTCACATCAGTGTTCTTTTCTCAGCCACCCTGCAGTGAGGCTGGGCGCAGGGCCGAAGGAAAAGAAGCGAGGGGGGGGGTTCCTGCTTGCCGGCTGAGCCCTAAGAGGAGCACTGCCCCCCCCCGGGACCTTGTTAAGGAAAGGCAAGGACGCCTTGTGAAGTTACTGAAGAGGGCCGTCTCTCTTGGAGCAGGCCAAGGAGTGAAAATCAAGAACCTAGCAGTCATTGCACCCAATGTTGTAGAAAGAGATGTAACAGCTAGCAGTGAAAAACCCAAAGCATATACAGTACATCAAATGCACATCCACTCCTTGGCTAGTGGCCTGCCTTTCCCATGTTAAATCTAGCAAAAGTTTTCTTTTCTTTTTTTCAGAGCTTCTGTGAACATGGCAGAAATAATACGAGAATTCTAGAACTATAATGTGGAAAGAAAGAACTACCTGCCTTTCAAAATGGATGGAATCTAGGAAAGTTTAGCTCCCAGTCACATGGCAAACTGGGTTGTTTGAAAGTAACTTAATAAGTTGGAAGAACCAAACTGAACCTAAGAAAATGGATTTTGGCACTGACACAATTCCAAGTGCAAAGAAGAACAGGAAATGTCATGCCTGTCAGTGTGTTCTATGTCACTTAATATGTATTCTGGAAGACTCATTGCTAGTTGTTGCAAATACTCTTGCCTGTTATTGGGTGAAAATGATCTATTTACTCACTTTTTTTGTATATTTATTAACGGTACTCTGCTGCTTCTGAGAAAAGAGTCTCCTAACCATCCCAAATTAAACAAGGATCAGCCACGAGCTGATGGCAACAACCTGAGCTTGAGACCCATGGCCAAGTAAACAGAGCCAGCTTGGCGTGCAAGAGTGCTGGGCTGGAACTTGGCCTATCCAGGTTCATCTCCTGGCAGTTATAAAACGCACTGGTTGATCTTGGGCTAACCATTTTCCCTTTCCCTCAGATTGTCCTTGATAACAGTGGAGAGAAAGAGTGTCCACCTCCTGGAGCTTCTTGGAGGAACAGGCCTGAGTGGCCAATTGCTTTTTCCTCTTGTTTTCCGACTACAGTATAGCTCCCAGAATCCCCCACCTAGGGAGTGAAGCAACTTAATAAGTTACAAAAAGTAACTCTTCCAAGGTCTGGGCAGGAAACAGAAATGTAACGAACCCATGAAAATAAAAATCACGGGCCTGTCTAATTTGGCAGTTTCCACGCTGCCCTATAAAACTGGCCAGAACTGAGGTTTGCACCTGACTTAACGGGTATTTGGCAAATCCCTCTCTTGACACCACCCACCAGTACTCGCGCCGTCACGGCCAGACTCCGGCCGTTAGGTGGCGCAGCTGAGACGTCTCCACTCTGCCTTTGAAAGCCTTCCCAGGCGAATCCATTTTGTTTGGAACGGGGGGGGGGCGTGACGACACCAGAGAGAGAGAGAGAGAGAGAGGTTCTTCTCCCTGCATCGTTAGTCATCAGCGATTCCGGCGGCCACTGAGGACGTGGCTTTGGCGCAAGTGCAGGCTGGCCTCTTCCTGTTCCGCCGGCGGCCCAGGCCTGCTTGGGCGGCCTGCTTTCGCCTCAGCCCGCCCGGCCCTCAGCCGGTGGAGGATGAGGAGGACTCGCAGTGAGGGGGCCGACAGAGGTGGCTGAGGGAGCCTGGCCTGTGAGCCGGCAATGGAGGAGAAGTTCGGCGGCAGCGGCGAAGTCCTGCCTGGAGGCGGGCGCCTGGGGCCCGTGGACGTGCCCAGCGCCCGGTAAGGGCTCGCCTGAGGAGGGCTTAATTGGGGGGAGGGAAGGAAGGAAGGAAGGAAGGAAAGAAAGAAAGAAAGAGTAGGCAGTGTGTGGAAGGCAGGTCTCTGCCTGCCTCGGAGCCTCTCACACCAGCGCTCTTTTCTCAGCCCCCCCCCCCGAAGTGAGGCTGGGCGCAGGGCCGAAGGAAAGGAGGCTCTGGGGCAAAGGGGGGGGGGTCCTGCTTGCCAGCTGAGGCGTAAGAGGAGTAAGAACTGAAGGCACTGGGCCCCTCTCCCTTTCCCACAGCCGGTAGTCGTGTCCTGTGTCTCTTGCAGCGTAAACAGTGGAGAGTCCTGTGTATCCATAAAAGGCTAGCCAGTTTCTGATGGCCCTACTTGAGTTGGGGGTCTACCTCCTAAGATATGGCATCTTCTAAATGTCAAAGGGGGTCTGGGCCCTGAAGGATGTTATGCCATAAGAAATCTGTTAAATCATTTAATTCGACATAATATGGGACACTTTCTTCATGCTGAGGAGGCCAAAATCACCTTGCAGTGAAAGTAAAGATTTGTGGTTTTGGGCTACAGTTCCCAGAATTCTCCTGGCAGCATACCCCATTTGGCCCTGCCTGTTCTGCCTAGGGGATTGTGGAAGTTGTAGTCCAAAAGCACAAATCTGCAGGTATGGAGAGAATTCCATTGGGGATAAGTTCTGAGATCTTACGTCACGTTCTCACTTCTGTGCAACTCTTGGAGCCAAATTAATATGTTGCCAGATTCATTTGTAGAAATAACATGATTCTACAGGTAGATAATGTTGTGAACTTTGTATGGGTACTGATATTGCAGTATGTACAGTATATGCACTGGGAATTCATAGCAGTCTTCACTTTTATATTTTTGCTGATCGTAGGTGTGATTCATGTCAGTGAAGAACTTTAGCATGTGTAGAGCAGCCTTTAAACTTTAGATATCTCTGGATTACTTAGACTAGTTAAGGAAATACCCACTTAATTCAGAATTTTTAAAAAAGGCTGTGCTTGCTGTACAGTAACTATGATACTGATAAATAACAGTATTGTGGGTTGCGTGTTGACCCAGTGATGCTGCACCTTTTGCCAATAGCACTCATCCCTATTAAACTGTACAGTATCTTTTAGCTCACCAGTTAGATGTGCAAATTGTTCACACATCAGCAGTATCACAGATGTCTTGCATATACTGTATGTAACAATCCATTGGACCATTGTAGTCTCTTATTTCACTACATACCTGCAATGAGTAACAATTAGTTATATTTGAGAATTTTGCCAGATCAAAAGGTGAACTCATGCACTGTGTGTAAATGGAAAAGGAGTTGTTGGTCAGATAATGTTGAACCAGATCCATCCCTGAATGTATCTTATGCTTTTTAAATGTGATACTCCAGGGTTAAGAAATCTTTTGACATTCTGTTCACTTGGTGGTTATTCCATTCAGTGGACAGCATTTTGATTTAGCAAGCACATCTAGGGTCCACAGTATTCAGCAGCAAATTAGATATTATTTTGAGACAACTATCCATGATAGGCAAGGAAATATGTGTAGATGATAGGTCTGTTTTCTTAAAAGTTGTATTTAGCTCCCTGTTTCAAGCTACCTTTTATAGCACTGTCTGAAATGTATTTTCTTTCTATTTTGCTGTATAACCTTACTTTAAAAATAACAAGTATTATATGGTATCTCTTTTTGCTTTTTTCCCAGCCTAACTAAATATGTTGTGTTGCTATGTTTAACTAAAATTTTGAAGGCATTAGGATTGTTTGAATCCTATGATCTCCTGAAAGTAGTTCACCTTGTACAGTTCATCTTCATAGTAAAGCTTGGGTAAGTTGACTTTTATTTGAGCACTCTGCAGTAGTTTTCAATGCTTTCCATTTTATAGGAAAGCATCTTGATCCTTGTGTTTAAGAATTAAATTTTCCAGTTGAAAACATGGGTCAGCGCAGATTTGATTCCTCCCTGTCATGTGTTTCTTGTCACCATACTTTTTTGTGCTTAATTGTTGTTACTGTTTGTCTGCACCAACCTTTTTGTTATGCCTTATTCAATCCAACTGTTCAAGATCATGATTGAAAGCGTGATGGCAGATTGGTTTGGAACATTGTATTCTTTGCTTTTCACAAAAAATAAATGCATGAGGTGGTGGACCAAATCATAATTCAGCAGTTGGATGTTTTACATCTGAATCAAGTCATGGACTTTGCAGTAGTTATTCTGTTTATTGTAATAGACAGAATGTTTCCAGTTTAGTAAAAACAACAGTGAGAGCATTTCATACTAACCTCTGACATAACTCATCAGTAATTTTAAATGCAAAATAAATTGCTAGCTATAATGATCTTTTATATTGGAAATAGGTTCTCCACCACAGTTGTTGTAGCAAACTATGGTTTTTATGAGGTTACAAAGATAGTAGTTTTGTTCATTATGCTAGATGGTATACAGAGTGCAGAATTTTTTTTAACTAGTTTTAAAAGGGAGTAGGACAAAAGCTGTGAGGCCTACCTGGGTTTGATTTTTTTGAAACTAGAAGAGGAGGGTTGGATGGGTTAATTGGTAAACCATGAAGTCTTCCCTTGTACATCATGGTTTGTTGTGTCTTCTGTTTAGAGGGCTGTAATATGACTGATGTTCTTATCTGAGTTTACTGAAGGATTGGGATCCATTAGCACCTATGCCATCTATGCCAGCTTCAGAAGACCGTGGCAAGACTAGCTATATCTGTAACAGGTTGTCTGTGGAAGAGAAGTCATTAGAGTAGTTCGTTTTTCCTAGAGCAACAACATGCTTTAGAAAAAGACTGGAACAAACTTCAGTATCTGTTGTGTCATAATGATTGGAAAATATTGTTTCATAAATTCAGACTGTGCAACAACATTGTGGTGTGAAATTAATTGAGAATGCAGTATGGGCAACAGTGTTGCAGTGGTAGACATTTTAAAGCTATACCTGGCTAAACTTAGTGGAATCTAAAACTTAATCTTGTATATTTTAAAATTGAAAGCAAGTTTACAAAATTACCCAGAATTTGTCACATCTATACAGTATTTCAATTTTGTATTAATTTTGCTGTATGTGTACTATGAAGTGAATGAAGATCAGTAGGATCAGCAGTGGCATTTTTCAGCACAAGAGCACACAGGACAAACCCCATGTTTAATTGTCACATTATGTGTTCGTGTTAATTCCTGCACTAAAAAACTTTCTGTGTCAGAAATGGGGAATACTGATTTATGAAGTAGCCTTCCCTCAATCAGCAGCTTGGGATTTGTGTTGTTTTTGTAGGGTTGAGATCTACATTAACTGATTCTGTGATGTGAGTGTTTAAAAAAACAGCATTTGTTTGAACACTGATTGTGACTTTCAGTTTCACTTCATCTAATAGAAACCCTTTTTGCATAGGTCTGCATTTTTTATGATTTTGTTTCAAAAACCATTTTCTTCTGGGAAACCTGTCACCAGGCATCAAGTGAGTAACATCTTTATTATGGGTGTCATGCTTTACATGAGTAGACCATTCTGAAATGTAATATTTAAGAATTAAAACTTTTCCCCCTGATGCTGAAACCTAGGCCTCATTGAAATCAATAGGAGATGTGCAAGAACATGAATATTTACAGTATTTCGTTGGGGTTTATGCTGTAGTTTTCTACAGGATTTGTGCCATGTAGATCATTTGAAAGTTCTGTTTTCATGAAAGGTTTTACCTTGCCACATCTCTGGATGTAAGAGAAGGGTATCCACAATCTCTTTCATTCCTTGTTTTAGGAAAATCAAATGCATCTCATGGTCAAAAATTGGATTTTTTTAAAACCATTTAAACAACAAAATATATATTTTAATTTAAATCAGTTTGATTTTTAAAAATCATTTATTTTTATCTGCCTTGGTTTGCAGCAGTTTTGCAGTTAGCACAGTTCCTTTGTCAGTAACAGATTACATTTTTAAAAAAAATAATTTTAAATAAAAAAAGAGTGTAACTTTCTACGTCAAAAGTAATGTTTTACAGGATGCTGATTGCATGCTTAAAAACTGGACTATACATATGTGCATACCTGCATATATTGCATAGAATTTTATAACTTGAATGGTGGGGAGGAGTAATATGGCAGTACTGGAAAAATGACTGTTATTGGGAGGTATAGATTGAAATCCAGTAGTAAGGCGCAATAAGCGTAGGTCCATTGAATCGGTGGATTATTGATGAATCAGTATCTATGTAAGCCCCATTGATTCAATGGATCCACTCTATTTGTGAATTACTGTTGGATTTCAGCCACAACATCATGCATGTTTGTTCCATAAAAGATTTCAGATAACACCTGTTTGACGAAATAGCTGTTAGGACAAACTGACATAGTTTCATTGTATAGTTTTCCTGAGGAGATTTTGTTTTCTCTTGTATCTAAAGTGGTCAAGAAACTGTGTATTCGCGAAGTTACTGAAATGTGTTGTTGGAATTAAACTACATTCAGAAGGTTCTTTAGAAAATTGTGTCATATACTTTTCTACTAAGTAGCAGGTACCTTGAGATATATGTAAATTAAAGATATCAAATATGCTGCCAAAATATGGTGGCAGATATTGTGGATTGCCTTTTATTTTTTGCCTGATAAATGAAGATTCTAGAGAGAGGTACCTTTGCTTTCATCTTGCTTGGATTGTGTTTTTTAAAAATAAATTTTGTAAATAGAATATTGAGAATGCTTTTTAAAAATTTAGATTTAAAATTGCATACAAGGAGATTGATGTAGCATTTTCTCTTGCAGTGGATCAAAATAATCAAACATGCTGTTGTTGGCTGTATAATTTCACTGTTGTGGTTCTTTGGACTCACCCTCTGTGGACCTCTAAGGTAAATATGTCACTAGAGTTGTAGTTTACAACTGGATTACTGTCAGTGTTTAAAATGGGAGCTTGCTTTATTTGTGTAAAGGATTAAGGTACAATGGCTGAAATCCTGTTGTCATAATTTCATTAGCAGAAGGCTAATGATGTCATCAATCAGGGGGATTTTTTGGAATTAAATATCTCCTGCTTCTGTCCTGCAGTTCCAATGGCTTCCATGTAATCCTTTTCATTGTGTAGAAGTCATAGGAGACTTGGCATGGGAACAGGAAAATTTAATTACCATAAGTTACTATTGCCAGGATGACATTACTGGTGGCAGCAATTTTTGGTCATTTAAAACTTTCTCCTCCCATCCCACATGTCCCACAGCTCCTATGTGGTGGAAGGCATTAGGCGGGAACTGTGTAACAGAAGGAGAAAATTTAAAATTGCCACCTCCTGATGGTATTGTTAGCTATCCCTGGCTTTAGCTATGCCAGCATGATTTCAGCCAGTAGCTTCACAGAGTCTTTACTATGCCAAAATAGAGGAGCTTGTAGTGGCCTTCCATATCTTTTGGAACAAATACAGTTTGTTTGAATAGCTGAGAATCAACTGAGAGGATTGGAGAGAACAAAAGTTCAGCTCCTCCTTTGGGCAATGATGAGAAGCAAGACAGGCTTCTCTAGAGAGACACCCTGAATACGTTCTTCTCCATTATCAAAGAACCTCAGAAATGTTCTGCCTACACCATGTGGTGAGGCATTGTCACAATGCCATGTAACAGACTCTAACATGGATTCCTCACCACTGCTAATCAGTGATGCTGCATTTTGCCTAGTTTCCCTCTCGTGGAGGATTTCAAGCAGCTGAATGGTCTCCATGCTTCTTATATCTGCTTGCCACCAGGATCAGATCAAATATCTCCTCTTGTTATACTTGGAAATTCTTAAACAGTTTTCTGCCGTCTGGCTAGAAAACCTGTCATCTATCTCAGGGATCCACAAATTTTGATCAGTCTTGCCAAAATTTGCAGTAGTTAGGACCCTGTCTTCCTCCTGACCATTGAAGCATAGGATTGGACTGAAATAAATTACTCTGTATTTAACCATGTTTACTCCAGCCCTAAGATGCAGTGTGCTGGAGTCTGCCTGAGTATGAGACTAATAAAACCTAGTGGGAGATGGTGCTAAGTAAACATATAGTGGATTGAGATGTTGTTTCTTGACCTGGCTTTGTCAAACCTCTGCACAAAGTCAGAGATAATCTTTGTCTTCTCCATCCCCAGGAAATGTGTGGCTTTTGCATAGGTAGGATCTGGTGGAAGAGAAGAGAGGCTTGTACTGACAATAGGCAGCCAACACAGCCTTGCTGCTCCTCACCCAAAAGGCGATCTCCATCTTCTTTTCTAACATGAAGGTGGAGAAGAGGTGTTTGGTTTAGGCTTCCCAGTAGTTGGTGCACTGGGGAGTAGGCATTGTCACCTTGCAACTAGAGGGTAGAGAGGGTAGTGGGATTTTTCTTGCCGTCTTTGCAAGACTCTTAAGGAGCCTTAGCCTCATTGAAAGTGTCAAGCACAGCAATAGAATGCTGTCCTGAGGTGGAGGGAGGTTTGAGGAAGTCTGACAACATGCCTAGAGTTTTGTATTATTACCAAATGAGATTATCTAATTCTATTTATTTATTTGTGCTTCCATTTGTTTTGCAGAACCGTGTTACTTTTTGAGCATAATGACATTGTTGTCATTTCACTGCTTAGTGTACTGTTCACAAGTTCAGGAGGAGGACCAGCAAAGGTATCTCTTCCATGTTGTAAAAAGATATCATACATTTTATTTAAAAAAGGACATGATAATATTTGTCTGAAATTGAAATGATTATTTGCCCAGTTGTAATCTGTAGCATTAAAGACGTGGTGGCGCTGTGGATTAGACGACAGAAGCCTCTGTGCTGCAAGGTCAGAAGACCAGCAGTCATGAGATTGAATCCACGAGATGGCGTGAGCTCCCGTCACTTGTCCCAGCTCCTGCCAACCTAACAGTTTGAAAGCATGCAAATGCGAGTAGATAAATAGGTAGCACCAAAGTGAGAAGGTAATGGCGTTCTGTGTCTAGTTGCACTGGCCACGTGGCCATGGAAACTGTCTTCAGACAAACGCTGGCTCTATGGCTTGGAAACAGGGATGAGCACCGCCCCCTAGAGTTGGACACGACTGGACTAAATGTCAAGGGGAACCTTTACCTTAATCTGTAGCATTAACATCATGGGATATACATAAACTTAGTGGAAAAATCACATTTATAATTCAGTATATCCTGTAGGCAGAGGGAATTCAGAAGAAATTTGTGTTCAGCTTACCATGGGATCTGTGTTAAATAAAAAGGTCATTCATTCCCTCTACTGTCCCCCATCCAAAGAAGTTCAAATATACAGTGTATTAAATTTGTTTTGATTATATGTTCTTGGTACAGCCCTCTGCCTTTCTAATTGGATTTTGTATTCCTGTTTTTTGTTTGTTTTTCTAGACAAGAGGTGTGGCCTTTTTCATTATTGCTGTGGTATGTCTTTTGCTTTTTGACAATGATGACCTCATGGCTAAAATTGCAGAACATCGTATCCTTTCTGACCATGATGAGCCATAAAATTATTTTTTTCTAGGTGCCTAATAAAATTCAGATACTGCTAATGGAGATGTTTTCATGCAGAAACAGACCATAGGAGAACAGTTGAACTTTGCAGTAGCGTGTAAGCACAAATTCAGGATTTACTGGAACTTCCTGAATAGAAGTTCTTTGAATAGGAATATGTTAAATGACCCAGAAAGATGCCTTAGTCTGTGGTACTGAAAGAAACTGAGAGAATTAAGGCAGTTAGTGGAGAGCTCATCTTGTAATTACTAAATGATGAAATCGTTGCCCTCAAATGGATATGGCAGTTAAATTCCCATCAGCCCCTGCATTTTAGTCAGCGGCAAAGGATGATATTACTAATGTTCATTAACATCAGAACAGTCACAGGATTTCCATCTTTGCACTGAGACAGCAAAAATATTTTCTGACACAAGACATAGGCTAAAGGTAGACTGAGTAATCAGTGAATCCCTGGTAGTCTACCATCCAGATAGGCAGCTTGACTACAAATGAAATATATTGGAAACAGAATTATGATTTCCCTAACTAGAGTGTTCCAAAGATAGTTTCTTCTATAATGAATATATTGCTGCCTCTCTAAGTATGGTAAGCCTTCTCTGATATCTGGATAATTTCCATGCAGTTAGCAATAATATAACCTTATTTTTCCATACTTTAAATTGAAACAATATAATCTGCAATTCTTTTTTGCAAGTCAGATTTAAATGTGGGTAGTTCAAGAATGTTGCATGTTTTCAGTTATACTTAGCAGTATATCATGGGGAAGATAGTGTATTAGTGTATTAAATGTACCTTAGATTGCGAGTAATATAGAGAAAGAAGAGTGGAGTAAAAATCAGTTTTGTAACTGAAGGCTTTATATGTTTTTAAAAATTGGAGTTCGAATCCTATCTAAGAGGTTTTGTTGTCAGGTACCTGACTGAATAATTGTAACTGCTTCAGATTGCTTTAAGGCTTTATTATACATACCAGGTTTTTGCTTATGTTATATATTATCTTGGAGAAAGTGGCATTTTGTAATGTTTGAATGGAGAAGCAAATTATCTTTTCATTGTAGAGACTCAGAAAGAATTCACAGTACAGGCACTGGTCTCTGTTTTTCCATTATTCAGAATCGCATGCCTTCCAGCAAATGCCAGGGAGAAAATCTGTGAAGCAGTCAGTCGTGGTCTGTTTTTCTCTTGAGTGCATTAAACTTATTTGTAGGATAGGGGTCATAACTTTGCATGTAGAATGATCCAAGTTTAATCCCTGGCATCTCTAGTTTATTATAATAATTTTCAGGTAAGAAGAGATAGAAGGATCTTTGCTTGAGCAACCTCTAGTCTAAAAAAGCAATATTGGGCAAGAGGTACAGGTAGATCGAATAGTATAAGAAATCTGTATACAGTATATTCTCGTATGAGTATTGCATGCTCATACTTTGGAGACCATTCCTTTTTGATTGGTTGAAAATGTTTCTCTGTTTAACTTATAGCATATCACTTACAATACTTACAGGAATGATTTTGGTAAACAGTGATTCCAGTAGAGTTATTTAAATGCAGAAGTTTAGTCTCTTAAGCGCAGATGAATTCTGAAAACTTCCTATGCTTCCTTTCTGTTTACTATTCTTGTTCAGTTTCTTCAAGGGAGCATTGAAATGGGAATGTGCTCATGTTTGTCTGCAATAGGGTTTCATTGCCGAGTTTTCCTGAACCTTTTTTAGCTGAAGGACACCATGACAGTGCTCTAACGCACATGCTTTATACAATCATCTCTTTCTTGGGTGTTGCAGATCACAAGGTAAATGCTGCTGCTTATATTATGAATTAATGAATAAATGTATAGCATGCAATGTTAGAAATTGATTAATATTGCAACTAGTTATATGTAGCAATAGTTCACTTTTTAACAAGGTTTCTGCTTTGATCTGATTCAAGTAGCACCTTTTTAATATTCTCAATACTTGTATATTGGGTGGAACATGCCCACGTAGGAGAAGAGATGTTAGATATCTTACATCTATCCCCTCTTCTAGTCTTACCCCCAACCAGATGGTATCAGGTGACCATATCAGCAAACCCTCGAGCCAGTGCTGTTGATGAACACCAGGTTGGTACAAAATAAGATTGCCCTCATCCATGATGTAATTCTGGATGGGGGTGCTGACCTGACGTGTATTACTGAGACCTGGGTGGGAGAGGAGGGTGGTATTCCCCTCTCCCAACTATGTCTGCCTGGGTACTCAGTCCAGCACCAGTGTTGCTTGGAGGGTGGGGAGGGGGAGTTGCTATAGTCTATAGGAGTTCTGTATCCTTGAACAGGCTTCCTATCCCTTTGAGAGAAGGTCTTAAGGGCCTGTATAGTGTGTTGGGCTTACGAGACAGATTGGGGATTCTGTTGCCGTACCACCCACCCTGCTGTGTACCAACAGTCTCCCTGCCTGAGCTGACAGAGGTAGTCTTGGACCTGGTGTTGAGGGCTCCCAGGCATTTGGTGCTGGGGGACCTCAACATCCATGCCGAGGCTGCCTTGACTGGGGCGGCTCAGGACACCATGACAACCATGGGGGTGTCTCATTGGCCCGACACATGAGAAGGGTCATATTTTGGACCTGGTTTTCTCAACGGGACTGGAAGATGGTGATTTGGATGTGGAAGGGCTGGTTGTGACTCAGTTGTCAGGTCTAATAGACTAAACCTGACACTTCCTGGTCAGGTTTAGTCTATTAGCTTCTTCTCTCCTCTGCAAGGATGGGAGATCTAGTAAGATTGATCCAGATAGTTTCCTGAATGCTCTGGGGGATTATCCATCTATAATCTCTATGGAATAAGGAGATGACCCGGGCGGTTGGCACGATTGTGCCTAAGCACCCTCTCCCTGCATGCAGAGCCCAGACACCTCCTTGGTATACATTTGAACTGCGGGCGATGAAGCAAGAGGGGATACGGCTGGAGCACAGGTGGAGGAAATCCCGCTGGGAGTCTAGTTGAACATGACTTACAGCCCATTATTGGGCCCATTTTGCGGCAATAAAGCTGGTGAAAATGCAATATTTCCATATTGCTTCCTCAGAATGTCATCCAGCAAAGCTGTTTCAGGTGGTTCGGGATCGTTAGCCGGGAAATCCGTTGGCGGTCTGGGACTGCTCATCAGCTCGCTGTGATGAGTTTGCCATTCATTTTGAGGGGAAAATCACTCAGATTCACAGTGGGTTGGATTCCACCATTAGTGCAGAATCAGAGGACATGTCCAGTGTGCCATGCTTAGGTTAAGTATTAATGGATGAGTTTCAATCGTTGAGACCTGAGGATGTGGACAGGGTGCTTGGATCTGTCCGTTCTACCACTACTCCACTCAATCCTTGCCCATCTTGGCGAATTGGAAGATCTGCCAGGGGGGTTCACACCTGGATCCAGGAGGCTATGAACACGTCTTTGAGAGAGGGAGTGGTCCCTACCGCCTTGAAAGATGTCTCAGAAAGTTTTTAATTGAAATAATATCAGCCGTGGGTCCTGATGGCAATTTTTCATTGTATTTTAATTGTTTTATCTTTTTATTGTATTCAAATTGTTGTAAGCCACCCAGAAACCTTTGGGTAGTGTGGGCAACATAAAAGTTAAATAAATAAATAAATAAAATAAAATAAAATAAAATATGTTTTGTTTGTATGCTTCATACAAATAAAAGCCAGCTTGAAGGCATTAAAATGAAAGTGTGTTAGTCATGCTTGGAAGCAATAAAAATAATTTAAAATCCAATAAAAATTGAAATACACCAAACATTGTATTTATGTTATAATGTTTAATAAGAAACTGCTGCATTTTTCTTGCTACAGAAAATACTGAGATGGAGAAACTGAAAGAAATATAAGATAAAGCTGCACAAAAATGTGCAGCTTAGCAATCACAATACCTATTTGCGTTATTGATCTAGGGGTCTGCAGCATAGCTACTAACATTTTTGGACTATAACTCTTAAGAGCTGCCAAAGCAGCATGATCACTTGCCCCATGGTGGCTAAGAATCAGACCAAAACCACACATTTTTGTAGTTCTAGTCCCCAGTTAGTAGTAAATATCATGGTTTTATACCATAACTAATAGTTTCAGGAAGAAAATCATTTGTATTGTAATATAACTATCTACAACAAAACAAATATTAATCTTATGTACTGTGTTCCACTTCCTGGGGTTAAAATTATAAATGAATCTTGAGGCCAGAGAAAATTTCTGTCCATGTTTTCTGTGAACTACATTCATTACTGGAAGGAAAGAAAAAGAATCAGTATTCATCCATGGCAATAATATGAAAGGATGTGTGACATATTGAATACATTTGCTAATATTAGTCTTTTTTTTCTTTTTCTTTTTTTTGCAGGGTGGGGTAATCTTGCTTGTATTAGCATTGTGTTGCAAGGTTGGTTTCCACACAGCCTCACGAAAACTCTCAATAGATATTGGTGGAGCAAAACGCCTTCAAGCAGTGTCTCATCTTGTTTCTGTCATCCTTTTGTGTCCCTGGGTGATTGTCCTGTCTTTGACAACAGAGGTAAACAACACCTGCTGAAAAGCAAACAACATTCTGATAACTAAAGTTGTTATGTGCTGTCAAATTGCTTCCAATTTATGATGACCTTGTAAATCAGTGACCTCTAAAAGATCTTGTCATTAGCAGCCCTGCCCAAAAGGTAAGGATGGGCAATACTTCTACTAGACCACTCAAAAACAGAAGCACATAGTAAGTTTTGACTCATATGGGGCATTCATCATGCAGGACATCACTTATATGTGGATGGTGCAGAAAAAATACAAGAGTTCCAGAAACCTTGACTAGATGTCTATGACAGTTTAAAAATTAGAAATACAAAGTCAAGCCAGGATCGTTGGTTTTAAATTCTACCTCTAGTACTGTTGATTGACTTGTCTCAAATTCTCCAGACAGAAAGCTGCCCGTCGCTTAGCATTTTCCCCTCCTTCACTGCTACATTGAAACACATGTTTCTTTGCTTTGGTTAGGGGTTAGGGTGATGGATATTCAGCAAACTTCTTGTCAGAGAAGTTCGGGTAAAATTTAGTGTAAAATTGAGTGCTAAGGTCTTGCAAATTCAAGGCTGTTGTTTCCTTTATTGAGTCAGTTTGTCTCATTTGGTCTTATCTTGTTGCCTTCAACTTTGCCTTTTCCAGTGAGTTGAGTCTTCTTATCATGTCTCCAAAATACACGAGACTTGGTTTAGTCTTTTTTGTTTCTAGAGTTTAGGCTTCATATCTTTTGGCATCCATTGAGCTCTCTCTCTTTGGCAGTCCGTGGAAATCTCTGTGATCAGACATATCAGCCTTAAAGAATGGAATTAAAATTCTCTTTTTGAAATGTATGGAAACCTGAGCTTTGTTCATTGTATATAGACCTAAATGTAGCTAGAGTTTAAATGTGTACTTTTATTTTTCATGATTATTTATAAATAACTTTTCAATTTTAATAATTAATTAGCATAGGTGGTTTATTCTTACCCATTAAAAGATCCTGAGTGTGCACTGTTGCTTTATAGAGTTGTAATATGCAGGCTGTAGTGAAACAAGGAAACAAAAATAATGCCTCAACCATTTCTAATATTTAGAATCAATAATGTATATTAGTATTTACTTTGAACATTTCTCTCTTTTGCTATCACTGTTACAAATGTTTCCTTTTTTATTATTGCAGAGTAAAGTAGAATCCTGGTCTTCACTCATCATGCCCTTCATAACAGTTATACTTTTTGTTGTGGTTTTGGACTTTTATGTAGAATCAGTGTGCTCCGCCAAGATGGAAGTCTCAAAGTGTGCACGCTATGGATCCTTCCTCATTTTTATTAGTGCTCTACTTTTGGGCAATTTTTGGACTCATCCAATAACAGACCAGCTTCGAGCTATGAATAAACCAGCACATCCAGAAACCACAGAGCATGTTATTTCTGGAGGAGTAGTAGTCAGTGCCATTTTCTTTATTCTATGTACGTGTTCATTTTTCTTTCAGAAGAGTGGTGGGATATTGCTCATGACTTTGCCATGTACTCATATAGAAAAAAAATCATTGTCCTTTGGTGCTGTAAAACATGGACATGTTCAGAGAGGCACCAGTTGAGTAGGATACTGCTGTAAAAACTCCTATATCAGCAGATGCGGGAGAAGGCAGAGCCCTCTGAGCACATCACTCTTAAACCTTCACTGTCTGCTTTGGAGACAAGGGAAATACTCTCAAGCAGAGGTACAACAGGATGGAAGGAGGAAGAGGGAAATAAAATGTTTTCTCATACAAGTATTTTTTTGGGGGGGGAGAAGCTGCTCCTGGATTTGGTAATGGAGTTTTTGGGTGTATATAACCAAATAGATCTTGGCCACTATTTTTCTAGCATTTTGGTCTTAAGGTGCTAGTTAATTTGACAACATGTTTTACAGAAGCACTTTTGTAAAATCCTAGTTGTACCTTTAGAGTGGTTGGGGTAGGTTGGGGATAGGAAGGAGGTGGGACTATCTAAACAGTTAAATTACATTAAATGTTTTGTGCTTGAGCTAGAGACGTGTGCTTTACGTTACTTGTAGAAAATGTTTCCTGCTTCTGACAAGGGAAACCTTTTGGAAGCTGCCTCATTAGTTGTCATACTAGTGGCCAGAAGAAGCATGATTTCTCTTGGAAACAAGGTACATAGTGGATGCACCTTGTTTTCAAGGTGAGTTTCATTTCTGGCAGCTTTCTTGAAGTATGGTTCTACTTAAAAGCCAAGTACTGTACTTGCAGCTTGTGCAGCCTTGGTTAAAGGAAAATCAGAGGAGTACAGTGTTAAGAGTGTGACTGCTAGCTGGCTCATGGCACCAGTGTAGTCCGTACACTCAGAGGTTACTTGGTCTTGTTTTAACATTTCCTTAAGACCAACATCTGGCTCAGCTTCTTCAGCCAGCCTGTAACATTTCATGAGAATTTCCCTGTGGAAATTCTGACTTACGTAAAGATGATCAGCTTTCAGAAACAAAAGAAAAATAAAGAAGACAAAAATGTTGTGATACCTTAAAGACTTAACTGATATATTTTAGTGTGAGCTTTTGTGGACATGTCCACTTCCTTAGATGCCTGATGTGCTAGCACAGATTAACATGGCTATCTCTTCTAAAACTACAACAGTGAATGTTCTGAGTATCATTGGGAACTTTTAAAATTATACATAAAATGTTTAAGTTACAATAATTTGTCATTTCAGCTGCCAGTATTCTTTCCTCCCCAACCCGGAAAGGACAGAAAGGCACTCTCATTGGTTATTCTCCTGAAGGAATACCACTGTACAATTTTATGGGTGATGCTTTTCAGCACAGTTCCCAATCCTTACCTCGATTTATTAAAGAGTCACTGAAACAAATTCTTGAGGAGTCTGACTCAAGACAGATCTTCTATTTTTTGTGTCTAAACCTGGTAAGTTTTTTGTGTCTAAACCTCTTTTAAAAAATTGAATGAGAGTATTTGCTGTCTATTCAGGGTGATATGAAATAAGCACTTTCTGATATAAAAATAGCTAGAAGTATCATCTGGTCCGCATCTCACATCTTGTCAAAGAACAGGATTACCACCAGAATTGAAAAACATAAATGAATAAAATAATTCCATTAAAAGTTGAATATTGTAACAATACTCTTGAATATTAAAATTTAATTCTACAGTGACTGTGACACAAAAATAAATACAGAAGTCTCATAAATGTTTTATGAGCAGACTTTTTTTGAAACAAGAGGAAGGTTCAGAAACAGTGATATGACACTGGCAGCTGTTATTCAAAGACTAAAATTAAAAAACTTGTTATCCTGGCTCTTCTTTGTATCATAGGCATTATTTTCTTGGAAATATTATGTTGATCAGTTTCATCCAAAGTTATGTTCCACTCAAAAGTCAGGAGTTGGCATGCAGAAAGAACAATGCCAGTTCAGACCTGCTTTAGTTAGTATTGGAGTGGTCGAGTAGACCAGATAGGCGGGGTATAAATCAAATAAATAATAAATAAATAAAGTATTGTTTTCCATAATTTCCAACATTGTTGTCCATCACTTTCATAGTTTTAAGTTTTGCATTTTTTACCTTTTGGAAATGCTGACTGACAGACAACACCGTCATCCATTCTCTCTGTGGCAATCTGCCACAGGGAGAGTCAAGAGTTCAAGTTTGGAGAGAGTGAGATAATGTGAAAATAAAACATTCAGTTTTGAGAATGGATGTGCTGTGATATAATACAAAATGGAGGGAGCAGTTGATGTAGAGTTCAGTGAAATGTTAAAGAAGATGCATGTTTAACAAAATATCTGAATGTTGTCAACCAGCTTAGCATGCTTTCTTATTGTGTTCCAGCCCCATAAACAGAATATTCTCTTTCCTGTTTAATCAGTGTTTGAATCTGTTTGGGGAGGGGATTCCAGCCCCTCTACCTTTAAAGCTGAGAACACACACAATCCTATACTTTGATGTCAGGAAGAACAACCTTCAGAACACAGCCAAAGAGCCCGAAAAACCCACAACAACCATTCCTTTATTCCCTTTAGAAGCCCATGGTGCTTCTTGTAGAGGAAGTAAGTGGGACTGTTGGAGCCCATGTACTGTATTAAGGATGGCTGACAAAATCACCGTCATTTTAAATTTTCTTTTATCTGTACTGTTGTCCTGGCCACAGTAATCACCAACTTTTCTCTTTAGCCCTGTTAAAACCCACCTAGTGCTTCTCCCATACTTTGTAAAATACCTTATGCATTTTACTGCTAACAATAAAAAGACAGAAGTTTCTTTGTGCTCTTATCAGAGGTAGAAATGAGAACATTTCAAAGAAAAGATTAAATAAATTCCCCTTTTTAAAAAAATTGAGAGAAGAAAGCCAAGTACTGCAAAAAAAATCTCATTTCCATAACTTTCAGTAAAGAAAAATCTATTTCAAGTGTGGTGTTTCTCATTTTCACAGAAAAGACGTTTATCATAACTATTCAGAATGCAGTTTTCTGCCAGCTTCTGTTGTATTGAATAGATTAATATTTTCCTGATCGTGAGATGTGAGATGCATTTCATCATGATAATTGACTACAGTCAGTTGTATAAAGAATTTCAAAATTAATTGGCTACATGTTCTTTTTATCTGTAATGTTATATTTTCAAGAACAACATTAAATGCTACTTACATTTGTTGCAGGCATTTACTTTTGTGGAACTATTTTATGGTGTGTGGACCAACAGTTTAGGGTTAATCTCAGACGGATTTCACATGCTTTTTGACTGTTCAGCTTTAGTCATGGGACTGTTTGCAGCACTGATGACTAGATGGAAAGCAACTCGCATATTTTCCTATGGGTATGTCTTTTAAACGTGTTATAAGAATTTATTTAAATGACGATGTCACTTATATTGTACCACTCAACAGAAGATGCTGCCTCACATTGGTTCATGCTGGATAATCCCTTTGATTAATCTGCAGTTTAATCTGATTAAAATTCATTAATCTGCAGGGCATGTTTATGTACTTGTATATATTTTGTTGTAGATATATAACAGACTTTTGAACTTTAACAATAACACATCTGAACAGGTTAGACAATTGACAACTTCCAAAGATCCAGAAGCTACACGGAGTCTTTTCTAGTACCTCCCAAATGTTTCTTACCAAAATTGAGTAATGGGGGAAGGGTTAACTAAAAGACCGCCTTTTGCCCACTAACTAAATCATTTTTTAAAAAATGAAACATAATTTGGGGAAAATTGCTCCCTACATCCACTAGAGAGATAAGGGGACTGTTTTAAGCCAGCAATTCTCTTCCAAAAAATTAAATACATTAACTAAAAAGGATATTTTGGTCACACATCCACCTTTTCCCAAACAGTGTTCAAGCTAGGATGTCCTGCATGGAAAACATTCATTCAAGCCTTGGAGTATGGCCCCTGGCTTTTTTTTTTTTTTTTTTTTTTTCATTCTGGGCCAGTGTTGCACTTTTCAGTACAATAAATACGTCAGCTATGAAGGTAGAGTCAAGCGTTTCTAAATACACAGCAGAATATACTGTAGACCTACAGCCGGTCTTGACACCTGCAGTTGATCTTGATCATATATCTCTCCTTGTACATTTCCAGGTGTTTCACATGGCAATCAGTTGTCTTGATGATAAATTGCATTTCTTGCAAAGTAGTTGCTTGAGTAGTAGTCCCAACAGCAAGTACCTTGTGCCCCTCCAGATATTGTTGGACTGTATCTCCATCAATCCTCACCCTTGGCTGTGTGGGATAGGGCTGATGAGAATTGCACAATCTGGAGGGCCACAAGTTGCCACCGCTGCAGTAGTCTTTCAGTGCAATGTTCAGTGCAAAAGACTAAAATGGATTTTAGAGGCCAACAGCCAGACAGATCTTTGCAAACAGTTTTCTGATTTTAAAACCAACAGCCAGCACAGAAACATAACTCCCCCCTACCCAGCCCAACCCCAAGCTGCAAAACCCCTGTACAGTAAAGTGTACTCACCCAGAACAGGCAGTCTCTCTGTTTTAAAAAAGAAAGTCAAAAATCCAAAAAATAAAAAGCAAAAAAGAGAGAACAGTCTGTACAGTACAGTACCAGGCAGTACAGTACCAGAGAGTAGGCAGTCTGAAGTCTCTCTCCATATCCATACTTTCTAACCACTGGGGCGAGCAAGGTAGCAGACAGGCACCCTCTTCGCTGGCCAATGGTTAACTGAAAGTTCAGATTTCCTGCCTTCCCTGCATTTTTTTTCCTTCACAAATCAAAGCAAAATTTTGCGAGCGGAGTTGTTCGTAACTCAAAATGTTCGTAGGCTGATACATTTGTAAGTCAAGGCATCACTGTACAGTATATGCAAAAATTCCCAGTCTTAGTCTGTAGCATCTCCAGGCAGGGCTAGGAAAATTTCCTGTGTGAATTAAGCCCTGGAAAGCCATCACTTGCCAGATACATAAGGCAGCTTCCTACATTCCTTTTATAATTCATGAAGGGATGGGAAGACAGTGTTGGGGAAATGAGTATTTTGTTTTAATTTCCCTTAGTCAGAAATTCAGAACAACTCTCTTTAGGGTATTGTAGAACTCTTTTGTATGCTGTGTATATGTTTTTCACTGTACCAATCCAAAGATTGGTGACAGACATGTCAGAAAATAAAATATAAAATCTTCTTCTCTACCTGTTTCTACTCTAGTTGATATTATTTCCTGACAATGAATGACAGTCTTCTCTCACTGTTTTCTATAAGAACCAACATTCCTTTTCAGTTTGATAGCACTGTTGCGATACATCTTAAAAAATTATAGTAAATCTGCAAATCAACCAAGAGTATATAACTATAAACAGTTCATTTACTTTTTGTCTGTGATTAGTGGGATTTCAGGCAGAATAGTTTGGGATTTCAGCAGAATTCAGGACACCACAAAATCTCTTACATTTACTCCTTGCATTCTCAATTACAGGTTTGGACGTGTAGAAATCCTTTCGGGGTTTATTAATGGCCTTTTCCTCATGGTAATAGCTTTCTTTGTGTTCATTGAGTCTGTGGCCAGACTGGTTGATCCTCCAGATATTGATACAAATATGTTGACTGTAAGTTTTGCACTTTATTTTCTGATTACAGCGAGTTTACTTTTCCTAAGCATGCTAGTTACATATAGCAGAAAGAAAAGGGTTTAATTCCCCAAGTATTCCTGGGACTCTGCTCACTTTTGTTGCTTTTATAGAATGCCTCCATGAAAAGGAAATAAATTATACTTGACTAGAGTCAAAATTCTAAGAGTCCTTTTTGCTTAAATCAAAGGAAGTTATAGCAGTTGATAGGAAGCAACACAAAAAAGACTTGTTTCACTGAAATACAGCACCAGAAATTGGTAGAGGAGCTACCAGAACATAGAAATCAACAGCTTTTAATTAATTAATTAAGATGTTCTTGGCTTTTAAGGAGCTCCAAGAACGGCTTATAACTTTCAAGACAACATATTTGCTTCTGATGACAGACTTACAGTGTAAAAGGTACAGGAGGGAGAGACAGGATAGAGAGGGGACAGGAAAATCCAAAAGTTTTTGCAGCATTCCTTAAAGTGAACATAATAGTTTTAACAGCCAGCTGGAATGCAAACAATTCAGAGAGAAGAAAAGCTGAGGAGAAATGGCTTTTGCTGGGTGATGGTTAATAGGAACAGAAGCTCTTTGGAGCTGGTTTTTCAGCAGAGTTGATACATACGTTATTCCTGTGCTGGCGAGTGGTGACCTGCTCCAGTTATCCTTGCGCATTAGCCATCCTGAAAGGGCTGATGGGAGTAGAAAAGCCCAAACACCACAGAGCCACAGACTCTCTACACTGCAGTACAGACTCTCCCTAGGTGCAGTTAAAGTTAGTAAAGAGAGTTTAAAGCTGCTTTTTCTCTCCCTCATGCAGCCTGTCTCAGTTGGAGGATTGCTAGTAAACCTCGTTGGTATCTGTGCCTTTAGCCATGCCCATTCCCATGGGCCTTCTCGAGGAGGATGCCATGCACACGAGCACAGTCATTCACACCACGGGCATGGTCATAGTCATGGCCATGGCCATTTGCACAGTGACTATGGCCACAGTCATAATCATGGACACTCACATGGTTCTTTAGGAGGTGGCATGAATACCAATATGAGGGGTAAGTGCAAAACCAAGCAACTTTTTGTGAATTCATGTTGTTGGGGGGGGGGAAGTAATCTTGAGAATCAAAGACCAGTAAATGGTTCAGCTTCTCAGAGTTGCGTGTGTTTTCCAGAAGCAGGGTACACTGTTCATATAATATTAAATTATAGATTATCATATTTGTCATGTAAGTTGATCTGGAGTTGCCGGGTAGGTGGGGCTCGTCAGCCATGGAAGGCAGCCCATCTAGGAGAAGGAAAACTCCGATTTCAAACCTCCTCTTCCTTCCGGCTATATCCACTCATGGAAAAGGCTTCAGGAGTTACCCTAGAGGCAAAATCCGGAGCTGGAGTCCCGAAGGCAGTTCGTGTCGTTCTGCCAACTCCTGCAACGTTGCTGGAACCAGTTGTATTGGCTCTTGCTTTTCCATTGGACCATTTCAGCAACGTGGAGAGGGGGGAATCTGCTGCTTGGGTAACAGCCTATCCTCCATATTACTTTACCCAGGCTTCATGCTCTGGAGAGGTCACTCCTCGATTCAGAGCATGTTATCATAGTCTCTCGAGACTGAAGGATGCCTATGCTATGATCTGGAGTTGAAGGTGTGGTCTAGCTAGATGGGCATTAACTATGTCTTTTATTGATTTTTCAATTCTTCAATTAAGAATTAATTGGTTTAATGTGGTTTTTATTATTGTATACTAGGAATGTCTTTTTTAAGGTGGAAAGGTCAGGTTCAAATTAAATAAGTAAATGATCTGGATTTTTTCTATTTCAGGAGTATTTCTACATGTCTTAGCAGACACTCTTGGTAGCGTTGGTGTGATTATATCAACAATATTAATTCAACAGTTTGGATGGCTGATAGCTGATCCCCTCTGCTCTCTCTTTATTGCTACTTTGATTTTTCTCAGTGTGATCCCACTGATAAAAGATGCATGCCAAGTACTCTTGTTGAGAGTGCCACCACAACATGAAAAAGATCTGCACATAGCTTTAGAAAAGGTGAGAATTTACTCCACATATTGCACTTCTTATGTGCAAATATGTTAAGAAGTCTCTCTTGATGTCTAGGGAACACTTAAGTTCTGCTTTTATTACCTTTAATACATTCATCTTTGTTGACCACAGTTTCTTGGTAAAGACAGTCTATTCGAAAAGGCCTATGTTTTGCATATATATATTCACTCAAAATCATGGATCTTTGTAAAACTGGATGCAGAGAGAGAGTCGGTTTATGTTGTTTCTAGAAATGCAGTTCATGATATCATTTATGTCAGGAACATCTATTTAGAGAATTTACAGAGGCAGGAGTAGGCAACATTTTTGGTCCAAAGGCCAAATGTCAATTTGGGAAGGATCCTGAGCCAGATAGCATCAGTGACTATGGCCACGAGGCAGGACAAAGTAAAATGGGCAAAGCTAAACATACTGTACTTCACTAGTTTCTGCATTTTTCTACCAAGACTAGAAACCACCATCTCCATTCTGGGCATACCGACTCTGAAACAGGCCTCAGTGCAACAGCTTCTAACTCTTCATACCGGTGTGCAGATCAGATGTAACACTTTCCTGGCCTTGATAGCCTCTTACCACTACAAGATAACAACATACAGAATGTTTGCAGCTGGATAGGGGAATTCCCACAAGATGCATTCAATGCTCAATTTCCCCACCTTTATTTTATGACATTTATATAAATTAAAGGAATCGTTTGTAAGTTAAAGAACATAGCATTTGAAACTTTTCATAATTCTAAAAGAAGTTTACATCAGTGAGTGTTCTAATGATAAAGTGATTATTAGTGTATGCCATCAAGTCAGTTCTGACTTACAGCAACCCTTTCGAGGATGTTCTAGGTATAAAATATACAGAAATGATTTACCATTCTCTTCTTCTGGGGGCATCCAGGGATTGCACAGGTTGCCCAAGGATCTTCATGTCTGCATAGTGGAGATTTGAACTCCCAGCCTCTGACTCCACAGACATATACATAACTCATTGAGCTATCCAGCCATCTCTAAAGTGATTACTTGTTGATAATTTTAGATGACTTTGAAATTTAGTAATGAGTAGCTGGAGAGGCATAAAGTTAAACTGTTCTGTAGAATATTTTTATAAGTTGTGCTTATATATGTATGCTTATACACACACACATATAGATATATACACATACACTTTTACAGGTCCAGAAAATTGATGGAGTCATCTCCTACAGAGATCCTCATTTCTGGTGTCATTCTGCTAATGTTGTGGCAGGCACTATCCATGTACAAGTGATGTCAGAAGTGATGGAGCAGAGAATTATACAGCAGGTAACTTAGCATATTCATAATCTATGTTTCACCACTTTCCATATTGCTGAGTTTCTCCACATAATTGCGTATGTGCATATGCAACTAAATAAACCAGACTATGTATACAAAGAGCTGACCACAGCATCTGTAATTGCAACTCTTCAATATAAAGGTTTGTGCTCTTACAGTGTGTAGAATCTCATCTTGCTTTAGGTGGAGAGTAACATAACATAGTATGGAAGGCACATTCTCCTTCTTGCACCACCAAGGTCTCTGTGATCCCTTTGAGAATGCTCTTTTAATTATACCATCTAGAAAGGTTGGGAGAACCAACATAAATTTCAGATTGCATTTGGTGTTGCTTGGAGAGATAAGTTGCCATTAACATCATCCTGAGAATAGGGTATAAATATAAATAAATGTGCAACTGTGGTGGTTTTTTAAAAAATATAATAGAGATGGGCACGAACCTCTGTTCAAAGATATGTGCCAATTCATATGCACGGCACTGCAGGTGCCGTTCCCTCCCCCACCTCCCTAGCTTGATCCCCCAGTCACCAACTGGCGCATGCTCCTCCCCTCCTCCTCTCACTGTTCGACCAGTCCCCAGCAGGAGCATGGGTTTGCCTGTCCTGCCTCCTTGTCTGAGTGAAAAATCAGCTCCATGTCCATCTCTAATTGTAATACTTTCAGTTATGTAATACTTTCAGTTATGTGTTTTCTGTCCATATGTTGTACCACCGCAAAAGGTAGATTCTTTATCAGTACTATATTGATTGAACGGGTGTCCCACTCTTCCCTCAAGATGTGCTTTCTACTTCACCCTTTTTTAGCCTCTGCTGTACTAGCAAGTGCAGATTCGAGTCACCCATTTAACCTCACTGGTATACAATCTTATGTACTCATGCAACTCTTCGTTGGGGGAATGGAATTGTGATGTAAATTATGAAATGATGTTATTTCTGTATTCGACAAAACAATCTATTGGCACTTCAAAAAGAGATTTGCCACAAGGCTCAATTTTCATATAATTTATATTTTTCAGGTTTCAGCAATTCTTAAAGATGCTGGAGTCAACAATTTAACAGTCCAGGTCGAAAAAGAAGCCTACTTTCAGCATATGTCTGGCCTCAGTACAGGATTTCATGATGTCCTTGCTATGACAAAACAAATGGAATCCATGAAATACTACAAGGATGGTACTTACATCATGTGATATGGAGTTATATCTGCAGGTTTTATTATCTGCATTTCATCAGGGGAAATTTGTACATAAATGTACAGAAACCAGTATATTATATATTTGGATTTTTAGAGAAGGAAGGTATTGTGTAATTAAAACCTGATCAAGAGGTTTGGAAAAATGGACAGTTGAAACATATACTGTATATGTGAAATGATGGCAATGTCAAAATACTGTATTTGGTATCTATTAAACCAGTTTTGCTATTGGAGTGTGGATGAGCACAAATGTATTGCATCAGACGGAATATTGAGCATTTCTCTTCCATCTTAGATCTAAAGAAAATAATTTTGAGTTACAACAGAAACAGATAGACTCCAAAAACTTCAAATTATTTTGAAGTACTGCTGCTGTATGTGTATTTACACATAAAATGTGCAAATGGGTTTTTCAAAGTTCATTAGATACAAATGAATATGTACAATTTTATATTTATTCCATTTGTATATGTAACCCTGTTTTCTAAGCACAGCTTTGTTAAATGAGGAGAAATAGATTCTACCAAAAAAAAACTGTCAATTAACTAATTTTTAAAAGAGAAAAAGAAAGTGTCCCATGGGCAATGAGTCAGGAAGAAAGAGAACTACAGTTTTTGCTGTACATGCACTCCTACGTTTCTGTTCAGTGAGAAGGTTGAAAACCTAATTTGAACCACTATGTAAAATAAACATTTTATAATTTTTATAAATTCTAGTCACCTATTTTTGTTTAAGCTATAGCCTTAAAAGCTTGAACTTTCTTGCATTTTGTAAGATAGAAAAATACACCACCAATGGATGATTTAGTTTTCTGATGTGGGTAGGTTCTTCCTAATGCACTAGTCAAAATTGAGCTACTCTGGAAGATGGTATTTACTGTATTTTCCATGTATAAAATGACACTTTTTTCTTAAATAATTTGAGAAAAAAGTGAGGGTCATTTTATACACGGAAGGCAGCTCTTTACCACTGCCTTCCTTTTTGCTAAGCCCAGTGCGCCCTCACCTTTTGAGAAGGGACAGAGTTTAGCAAAACGGAAGGGGAGCCGCCCCTTCCGTTTTGCTAAACTCCGTGCCTTCTCAAAAGGCAAGGAAAAGCAGCAATCACTTTGACAGCCACTTTCCTTGCCTTTTGCCAAGGCACAGGGCTTAGCAAAAAGGCAGCCCTTTGATCCTTGCTTTTTCTAATTTGGAGTTATAATAGGGGGGGTTCATCTTGTTCTTTGGGTCGTCTTATAAACGGAAAAATACTCTACTGTAAAATCATGACTCTTTGAAGTGTCTTCAAAACTGCCAAACAACTGATACTTTATTGCATTACAATACTGGTCGTGGTATACTTTCTGCACCTCATGGTGATGAAGCTGGGAGGGAGGCTGCAGGGTATAAATTGTGTGTAGTTGGAAAAGGGAAGGGGGGGAAACTAAACTGCCTTCAGAACTAATGATTTTTCCCTTTGAGCAAAGAGAAGTGAATGCCTCATACTAGGGTTACCTAAAATTGTAGCTACCTTTCACGGCTTAGTTGGAAGACCGGGGGCTGTTATGTATGTATGGATAAAGAATAGAGATGGGCACAAACTGCCAGTTCTGTGGTTCGTGATAGTTTGTTTTTCAGTTGAACAGGTGTTTGGTGCTTCAAAGTCTCATCTCATTCAGTGGGTGCCCACTAGGAGGCAGTGGCCTAGCTTCCCTGCCCCACCTCCTCTAGGTGCTGTCTCTGAATAAGCAAGTATCAGAGTACAGTGTTGTCCCGCATGACTATGATAATCCGTGCCATAGAAATTGCTGTTTAGTGAAAACATCGTCTTGTGAAAACCGTTTCCCCATTGGAATGCATTGAAACCTGTTTAATGCGTTCCAATGCGGAAAAAATGTCATTTTGCGAAGATCGCCCATAGGGAAGCCATTTTGCAAAGCGCCGATCAGCTGTTAAAATGGCTGCCCTGCGAAGCATCAGTCCCGAAAACACCCGTTTTGTGAAGTGCCAATCAGTGTTAAAATTGTCTTGCGAGAAACGGTTTGCGAAGCAGGGGCCCAAACATCATCCAGCGAAAATCACCCATTGGTATCGCTATAGCGATTGCAAAACCTCATCGTCATGCGGATTCATCATTTTGCGAGGTTGTCTAGCGAGGTACCATTTTAGGTGGGGCTTTGAAGCACCAAACACCAGCCATTAAATAAACTGGCATGAACCACAGAACCGGCGTTTCTTGCCCATCTCTAGTAGAGAATTATCTTCATCAAAATTACTTTTTCTTGATATTGTGAGCCACGTTACTGCTTAGTATGCTTGGCTGCCTCATACAAGATTATTGGACAATTGCTGCAGGTTTTCCTTGTCTTGTTCCCTTAGGGGTATCTGCCAGTACCTCTTCGTTAGGTCTTTTTACGAAAGGTATCTGGCGCCTCCTAGCTGGTCTAATAAATCCCCCACTTTCGGCATTGGGTATGCATTGAATTTGGACAGGGTATTGACCTTATGGTAATCTATGCAAAATCTTACTGACCCATCCAGCTTCGGCACAACCACCGGGTAGCTGCACCAAGGCCCCTTAGCTGGTTCAGTGACTCCCAATGCCAGCATCTCCTTTACCTCTTTCTCAATCACATGAGCTAGCTGTCTGGGCCAGGTCCTTTTGTTTGATTTCACCACCATCCCTGGGGGAGTTTCGACATTATGTTCCACCCAGTGTGTACATCCTGGCTTTACTGAACACATCTGGGAATTCTCTTTCCAAAGCCCGGATTTGATCTAGCTGTCCTGGGCTTATCTGATCGTCCACCACCACCAAGGGATTTGGAGTTAATTCATTAGAAGGGGCCTCTGGTCCAAGCTCCATCTCTTCACAGTCTCCGAATAAGGCCTCCCTATCCACCCACAACTTTGACAGATTTACATGCAGTACCTCCAGTTTTTTCTTCTTGTCAACTATGTTTATCTCATAATCCACTTCACTGATCCGGCGGGTTATCTCATATAGCCCTTGCCATTTGGCAAAGAACTTGGCTGGCTCTGTGGGGAGCAATACTAACACCTTTTGACACGGCCGGACTTCTCTGGGTCTTACTTTTCGGTCATATTGTTCCTTTAGACTCACTTGTGCCCTATCCAGGGCTTCCTTAGCCAGATTCCATGCTGTGTTCAGATTCCATGCTGAGCTTTCCCTCAGATCCATGATCAGTTATATCAGTGGTTCTTAACCTTTGTTACTCAGATGTTTTTGGACTGCAACTCCCAGAAGCCTTCACCATCAGCTCTGCTGGCTGAGGTTTCTGGGAGTTGCAGTTCAAAAACACCTGAGTAACAAAGGTTAAGAACCACTGAGTTATATCACAGGTTTGGAGAGATCTGACTCTTCTTCCCATTTCTCTCTTAGCAGGTTCAAGATGCCCCTGGGGTTTCGTACAATAATTCAAAAGGGGAAAACCCAGTAGATGCCTGGGGAACCTCTCTCATGGCAAACATCAAAGGGGCCAGGAACATATGCCACTGTTTTGGTTTCTCTTGGACTAGTTTCCTGACCATCCCTTTCAAGGTACAGTTGAATTGTTCCACCAGGCCATTTGCCAGTGGGTGGTAAACTGATGTCTTCATAGGCCTGACCCCCAACAGTTCCCACATCTGCTTAAAGGTTAAACTCATAAAGTTCGACCTTTGGTCGGTCAGTACCTCCCAGGGAAACCCCACCCTGGAGAACAATTAATTCTTTGGCCAATACCTTACCTGTACTTGTGCACAAAGGTATGGCCTCAGGGTGCCTGGTTGCATAATCAATGATCACCAGGACATATAAGTGCCCTCTTGCCGATTTAACCAGTGGTCCTACAATGTCCAGGGTGATCTGGTCAAAGGGGCGGTCCACCAAGGGCATAGGCATCATCTCTCCCCCAGGTCGAGGTTTTGGCTGGGTCACTTGGCACTCTGGGCATGAGCAGCAATAGTCTTCAACGTCCTTGCTCATGCGCAGCTGGAAGAACCTCTGCTGAATCCGTGCCAATGTCTTTTGTACTGCCAAGTGTCCCACCTTTGGCACGTCGTGGGCCAGCTTCAAAATCATTTGCCTTAGTCTCTCCAGGATCAGGAGCTGAGTTTCTTCCTCTCCCTCAGCCCTCCTGACCCCATACAGTATCCCATCCCTTTGTTCAAAATTGATTTTCCCTTCCTGAACGGCCCCCTCTGGGTCTGCTTTGAGCTGCACCTCATTGAGGCTCTCATTGTCTTGTTGCCGATTTCTTAATTGATTTCGAGAAATGTTCAGCATCTCTTCTTCCATTTCCCCATTGAGGGCCTCGGCATCTGCTTGTGCTAATTGTTCAATGCCTGGCCAGTCTCTGCCTAGTAACATCTCTCGGCCGAATCCAGGAACTAGGCCTACTCCAGGCTTCTCATCTGACCCCTGATTTCTATTTATGCCAGCACTACTCCATAAGGTTTACCATCCCCGTGCACGCACCTAACGTATATTGGCTTGTGTAGTTCTTGTATTTCCCTAACAAGTTTGTTCAGATCCCCGGGTCTGTTCCGGGTGGTTTTCCTGGGATCGGGGATAGGTGGTGTTTGCACTTCCTTGTTGGCAGAGGGTGGGAGGGATGGCACTCCCATGAGAGGAATCTTGCTCTCACCATCAGTTTTACACTAGTCAAATATTTTATTGGCTCATATTCTAAACTAGCTGAAATGGAGACAAGTGTTCTGAACTCTTTCAAAGAAAGGTAAAGTATGAGTGAGACAACTAAAATGTAGTAAGAAATTGGTACATAGGCAATCCCCAGTAGTGCACTATGTAATAAAGATCAACTGAAGACTGGTTGTTTTTAGGGAGTAAAGCACTCCACATATATTGTCACAATCCATTCAGGAAACCAATGTGATTACTTACACTCTCTATACTACCAAGTGGTTGAGCAGCTTAAGCAGGATTGGTAAGCACGGAAGAAGTTTGCTGGAGATTTATTGGTATTCTGTATTACAGTATATTTATTTACAAAAATTCAGGTTGGACCTTGGTGAAAGCATCTAAATTCTCCATCACAACTTTAAGTCCACACTCTGATAACAGATATATAATAATAATCCTGTGCTGCCAAGTCAATTCTGGCTCATGGTGACCCTTTTCAGGGTTTTCCAGATAGAAAATATTAAGAAGTAATTTACTGTTCCATTCTTCTGGGGACTGTACCCCTTCCCAAGGCCACATAGGCTAGCTCTACGCAGAGGATGCACAGTGTGGAATCAACCCCACAACCTCTTGACTCCATAGTCAGGTAGTTAACCCAATGAGCTATTTAGAGATACTGTACAGCACCTTAAATCACTAGTAACTTAATCCAAATGCATCTTTGTGTGAACAACAAAGATTTTGAGGTAAATTCAGAGATAATTTTTAAAGCTTTGGGGGACTTACAGTCCATTGCCTCAGAAGTATTACTAAATTATGAATATTATCAGATTCATGGTATATAATACAGAGGAAGAAGACTGAAGCCCATGAAAGTTCAGTTAAGCAGCCTTAAAGGCGCTGTTGTCTTAGCTACAAATGACTAATATTATTTGGAAATGTATAGTCTTCCCGCCACACACCTCCTGATACATCTTGCTTGGGGGTGGGATCATCCAGCTTTTTTTAATAGCTGTAAAACAAATCAAACTTCGTAAATCCCTACAGGAAACTGGTCAGATATTTGCAACCACACTAGGGGAAAAAAGAACATCGCCGAGTCACTACTTCTTAAATACGAATTTTTTAAAAAAATCAATTTAAGATTGCAAGCAATTTTTCATTTGACTTTGCCTATACATTTACTGGTGAGAAAGAATGGACGGGCTCGACAGGCTGCCCCACCCCGTGTTACTAAGGGCTATGATTGCGTTCAGGTTCGGGTATTTTACGCCACCCCATCCCTCTTCTCCAGAAGCCAACCATCCATTTTCCCATTCATCCAGTAACAGCCCTCCTCCCGCCCAGCTGAGATCTCGCTCTCCACAGACAACAAGCCTTCACGTGACCCAACGCCACCAATTCCGCTCTCCTGGCCCCGCCTACCTTTTCGAACCCTCGGAGAATCGGCATTGCGTAGCCGTAGAAACGCATTCAGGGTGGAACGCTGGGCAGCCAATTGCAAGCGGAGGAAACCAAAGCGGCAGCCAATGAAAGCGGACGGGTGCGAGTTTTAAACCTGCGACGGTCGGCTGGGTGGCTATCGGACTCGTGCGCACTAGCGGCCGGTTGTCTCTTGGGCTGGAACGGGAAGGAGAAGCCGGTCGGAGCAGAGGAACGGGGAGAGGTGTTTGAGAGGAGCTAGTGCTGTAGGAATCGAGGCTAGGCCATGGCTTTGCGAGTCACCCGGGTATGGAACAGGGAGTTATTTTTTGGCTGGCTTTTGTTGTTTAGTCGTTAAGTCGTGTCCGACTCTTCGTGACCAGCTAATACTTTTGCAACAAGGCTGAAATTTTGTATAACTAATATCTTTTGCAACAAGGCTGAAATTTTGTATAAGTTATACCTGATGTGGGTGCTAGTTGCTTGAATATCATTAGGCTTGCTTCTGAGGAAGCCTACGTAGGGTCCTGCTTTCGCAGCGGGGGGAAGGCAAACGTGATGTCTGTAATTTAATGCCATTTTTAATATGTGGTTGCTTTAAATCTGCCATGTACGTTTGTTTCTAAGCCCTTCTACCTATGGCTGCTTCTGAATCCCTTTCTCCAGCAGGGAAGATGTGATGACGGGACTTAACGGCGTTGCCTCGTTAACTGTTCTATTAAGGACTTGTGCTTGAGGCACCTTCTTAAGTCTGGTTTCTCCCACAGCTGCTGAAAAAAGCAGAATTTATAAAGCTTTCCTCACCTCAGTATCATCTTACTTTAATACTCGTATGTGTTTGGATGTTTATGTGACCTAAAGGGGAGCCTTTCTTTTCTCTACAGAATGTAAAAGTGAATACAGAGAACAAAACCAAACCAGCAATGGCAGCTACCAAGCGGGGGGTTGGAGTCGCCAAACCAAGTTTAAGGCCTCGGACTGCCTTGGGTGACATTGGCAATAAGGCATGTGACCTGAAGCCCAAGGACTTAGCGAAAAAGGTAAGCCTGTTCTCTGGTCCAAACAGAAAACTGGGAAGAAAAATTTGCTGCTGCAGTGACTTCTTTACCTGTTTCCACCCCCCTTCTCCCCCACCACCTCTACCAAATTAGGAAATATTGAAACCTGCAGTTATAGACAAAGTGACCACTCGGAAAGCCTCAAGACCTGTTGAAAAGACAACTGAGCCTGTGAAAGAAGAAAAACCAGTCCCAGAACCTGTTAAGGTAACAAGTGGCCTCCATAGTGGGGGCAGGCTGATGATATTTACCGATTTTAATCTGTTGGTTACATTTATATCCTGATTTTTCTCCCCATTAATTCAAAGTGGTGTACACAGTTCTCCTAGCTTAATCGCCATGACAATCTTGCAAGGTAGGCCAGAGGGAAAGTGTTTGGCCCAGCCAATCTATTCAGTGGCTGAATAGAGACTGGAATCTGGATCTATGAGTCCCAGACCAGTCTTCTAAACGGCACACCTTACTGGTGTGTCTGAAATAATAGCTTTCTTTGAAAATTAATCTGGGCCAGCACCGTAATTGCCAGTTAGGTATTTCATCCTGAGACAGATTAAAAGATCCAAATAACTTTCTGCCAAGGTTTCTTAAATCAAGCACTACATTGGATTGAATTTTAAACAGTGCTTTTCCTAGACCCATTCCCTGTAAGCCAGGAAACCAAGATCAAGTATTTCCTGCTACTATCTAGACCATTACTCTTTGGTAATAAAGGTTAATATATGTGAAATTCAGTTTTTCAAAAGGGAGATTGCTGCTGACCCTGGTATGTTGTAGACTAATTACTGGCACATGATGATGTTTGTTTATTCCGCAGTTAGAGTCTCCCTCCCCAAGCCCAATGGAGACTTCTGGTATTGCACCAGCAGAGGACGTATTATGCCAGGCATTCTCAGATGTTCTGCTTGAAGTGAAAGATGTAGATACGGAAGATGGTTGTGATCCTAACCTCTGCAGTGAATATGTGAAGGACATCTACAATTACCTGAAAGTTCTTGAGGTTGGTTTCAGGAACTGAGATAAGCAAGCTTTGTAACTCTGGGAGTAAAATATCTTGCAGATCTAGTTGTAGTCAGCATAACAAGAAATGGAAAGCAACATTTTTTGTCTGTGTGCAAAGTCTACAAAAGCACTGCAGGGCTACTAAATGTCTTTATTGCATGTATTTGGTTCAGTTCTCAAAATATAGAGATCTGATATTTATTGTCTGGGAAATGGCATAAGAGAACTCATCATAGAACTGCAGCAGTACATGGCTCTGGAGCTAAAAGTCTGGAGACATATTCAAGATTTGTTTATGAAGCTAAATAAGCCATTATACATTAGTCAGATTTTGTCTCCTTTTGCAGGGTCAGCAGTCAGTCCGACCAAACTACTTGGCAGGCCAGGAAATCACTGGAAATATGCGGGCAATTCTAATTGACTGGCTTGTCCAAGTCCAGATGAAGTTCAAACTATTGCAAGAGACCATGTACATGACTGTTGCAATTATTGATCGTTTTCTGCAGGTAAGAAGCTGGCCAGTGAGAAACATTACATTGTTCAAAGCACAGCCAGCACACAATAAGAGCACATTTTCTTAAACACATAGCTTTCCATTACACTTAAACCTGATTGCTATATTAAAAGCTGCATGTTGCACAAGATCTCAGGAATTGTCTTGGCTCATCTGTAGCATTTTTCTTGGACAGTTTAAAAAGCCATCTAGAAAGTCTGTACACACTGAGACTTGGAACAGATTTGGCAATCTGCTTCTTGGGGAACCTATGTACTGTACAACTAATGGTGGGCAGCTGTAGCTATCTAAGTGTTTTGGGTTTACAACTCCCAGTTATCTCCTTAGCATAGCTAATGGGAAGAATTGTGGGACTTGTGGTTTAGTTACATCTGCTCTATAGTGAATATTTTTTAAAAAACTGGTTAGGTTTCAGGTTTGTACCATTCTGAGAAGCAAGACATTTTTGTAGAAGATCTGAATGATGATGCTTTGCTTTACAGAACAACAAAGTCGCTAAGAGGATGTTGCAGTTGGTTGGTGTAACAGCCATGTTCATTGCTAGCAAATATGAAGAAATGTTTCCTCCAGAAATTGGTGACTTCGCTTTTGTCACTGATCACACCTACACCAACCTTCAGATCAGACAAATGGAAATGAAGATCCTAAGATCACTCGATTTCAACCTTGGCCGTCCTCTTCCACTGCACTTCCTAAGGAGGGCATCAAAAATTGCAGAGGTATTACTGCTTTATAAGTTCATCACTGATCTTCGCGAAGGCTTTCACGGCCGGGATCTAATGGTTGTTGTGGGTTTTTCGGGCTCGGCCGTGTTCTGAAGGTTGTTCTTCCTAACATTTCGCCAGTCTCTGTGGCTGACATCTTCAGAGGACAGCACTCTGGCGTCCCCTGAAGGAGACTGGCGAAATGTTAGGAAGAACAACCTTGAGAACACGGCCAAAGAGCCCAAAAAACCCACAATAACCATCATCATCTATCCCTTGCATTATCTTCCATGAAAATCACTCCTGAATTGAAAATAAATCAGAAGATCTAGCCTGGAATCCTGAAACACCACCTTCAGAGCAGTAGGTGAAGGCGACTATCCTTTTGTCTGTTGGTGCTCTTGGCCACAAGTGCCTTCTTAGCTCTGTTCAGATGGAAAACAACACTGTTCAAAAGAAAGGTTCATCTTGATTTTTCTCAACACATTTACAGACGTCAAGACAATGTAACAATTGAACCTTTTGGTTCAAAATGTGGCAGAAGTGTTCCTTCAGCTGTACAGCTCCGTGAGGGTAACCCAACATTCTTCTGACTGTTCCAGGCAGATATACAGCAACACACACTGGCAAAATATCTAATGGAGCTCTCACTGGTGGATTATGATATGGTGCACTTCCCTCCTTCTCAGATTGCTGCTGCAGCTTATTGCCTAGCAACTAAAGTTCTTGATGAGGGAGAGTGGGTAAGTTATGGATTTCAGAAGTGGCCCTCGGTTACAGTATGGAAGTGGGTATTAGAATTTCCCATGAAGCTCCCTCCTTCCTTAGGTAAGAGTAGAAATGACTGCTCAGTAATATTCCTGTGCCCCTTTTTCCACTTGCCCTAGACTTTTTCTCCGAGAATAGTTTGAAGACTATGGCCAGCATCTAATAGCGTTTGTCTGCTGATGGGACTACTGTACTTCTTTCAGCCTTTTCTAAAGACCCTCCCGTGCACTGTGACAGCTAGCCCCACAAGGCTGGTGAACCCTCTTAAGCACTTTGGGGGGCTGTAAAGAGAAACAGCAGGAAGCCCCACTGCACTAGTAGCCGAGTGTTAGCACAATGTTATATACAGACTTGGGTCTAAGCAGTGAGTTGAAGCTTCCTAGGGACTCTCATGGCAGATGCAGCCCTGTATCTGCTTGGGGTTGCTATCTAAATATTACAAAAGAGACACACAGTCTGAGGATTTTAAGTGTTTAAGATGTTTACATTTCAGGTGTTCTAGGACTATTATTCAGATGCAGTCTCCTCTGAGAGATGTCAGCAAGAACATCTTCAAGTTGCTTTGTAGTGCTTTTAACCCCACCTTGCTTCTTGCTCTTAGACGCCAACCCTGCAACACTACATGTACTACACGGAGAGTGCTCTTGTTCCTGTTATGCAGCATATGGCCAAAAATGTGGTAATGGTTAACAGAGGCCTTACAAAGCACATGGTAAGCAAATACCAGCTACTGTCCATTTGTCTGCTTCAGTTACCTGCAGCTAAAAACATCAATGGGGCTTGGATTATGAGTCGGTGTGCGGCAGCTATTCCAGTTGGTAGACAAATGTGCTTTGTATGCTTTCCTATTCTGTTTAATTGTAGTCTTTATAAAAAAGGGAGGGTGAGTTAATTCACTAGCTTCAAAGTGGCAGCATAAGTTTGTCTGAAGATTTCTCTGCAATTCTGCTTTAATGTGTTTGTGTGTACTGATACAGTGGGTCGGAATGCCCATATCATGGAAACTCTTGGGGGATGTAACAGCACTGGTAAAACCACTCCCTATATTTATTTCACTTACCTTGAAAAGCTCAATTAGGGTTGCTGTAAAACACATGCATGTACTGATATAGCTTCCTAATTTTAAAATAAAATGGTGCATAATCCTCTGTTCTTGAGATACCATCTAATCTTTGTCTCTGCAGACTGTGAAGAACAAATACGCCAGCAGCAAGCATGCTAAGATCAGCATTCTTCCAGCACTGAACTCTGCAATCATACAGGACCTGGCTAAACCCCTACTGAAATAGATCTAATTTAACTGTTGGACAAAGTTGACACTATGTGTCACTGGCCTGTGTGTATATATATGTATTCATTTAAAGTTTTTAATAAACTTTCCTTTTTACTTTAATTTTTTGTCATGGTGTAACAAGTGAAAAATTCTTGGTGGTAGACCTTTTTCTAAGGCTAAGCTAAAACCTATGCTCATTTGGTAGATGAGAGTTATATTTTTTAAAAGGGGGCATAATAAATCCTGCACCAGACATACTGGAGCATATCTCCATCCTAACAAACATGAAAAGTACCCTGAAATTGAGTTCTTAATGAGGGGCAACTATACTAACCAGTTTGAGCATGCATGAGAAATGTCCAAGTAAAGACCAAGCTACTGAACAAGTAATTACAGAAGCATGCTTTAGAAAGGAACAATTCTCTAAAAAGGTAGTATTTTGATTTTTAAGTTGCTGCTTTAGCAGTGAAGTTGCAAAAGCATTAATTCCCAACATCCAATGGCTAACTATCTTTTCCCTCCTTACTTGAAATCGCTGCACTGATACTTTTCAGTACTGTATACTTCCTGTTGAGACCAATTATGTTTCTGCATATAGGCAGAAAATATAACTAATGGAACTGTGAAGGGTGCCTGTTGAATTGACATACTTTTGTCTGTCTTTAGAGATTATCATTCTTCCAGTTGCTATCACCCTCCACATCTCTTGTGCAAAACTTATGACTTGCAGGTCTCTGGAAGATGACATCACTAAAAAAATCAAACAACTTACAAACTTGTGGAGGATTCCCACTTCAGGAGAATTCTTCCTATCACCTGGTTTCTAAAACTTTAAAACAGATAAATGCAGACACAACACAGGCCACTACAGAAAGGTCATAGTTTATCTCACATTTTTTTATCCTGTAGCCTAGGCACGAAATACTATAGTGAAATGGACTAATATGAGTGGGTCGATGTTAGCGATAAAGCAGTGCACAGTTTATGACTGCGGCATGCACACCATCTCTACTACAATCACAAAAATATAGCCTGAGGAACATGTACACTACTGGTTTAGCTAGCTTTTTACTATCTTTACTGTCTTATTGTAAAATCAGTGTTTTGGAACTGATCTCTCTTGGTCTGTGTGCAGAGAGAAAACATGGTTGAAATTGACTTTATTTTTCTGCTTCCTAACTGGTTCTGGAATGTGCCATTTGATTTTTGTTTTTTTTGGACACCAAATCCCAGAATTCTCACAATATTCCAGCCACAAACATACCTGCAGACACCTTCATTTCATTCAGCAGGAGAAAGGCTGAGGCTTTTTTCTAGACCTTGTTTCTTGCTGCAATATTTTCTGGTGGGTGGTAGCCTTGTTCTCCTTTATGCTTTACATACAGTGCCTCCTGAAGAACCATCACCCCCCCACCCAGGAAACCCTGGAGCAAAAAAAAAAAAGGCCTTTCTCCAGGTGAGCAAAATGAAGGTGTCTGTCAGGTGCGTGTGTGTGTTTGTGTCAGCTGGAACTCCTAGAATTGGGGGATTCTTGAAATCTGGGATTTTTAGTAAAAGCACACACGCACGCCCCTGAATGGCATATTGCTATCTGACACCAATTCCAAGTTAAAGGAGTAAAATGCGTCCCTGCTCTAGCGGTAAATTCATCACAACAACTTCCCAATCAACTGTGCCTAGGGTTGCAGCGTATCATGCTGATTTGACATGAGTTACATCATGCACCTGGAATTAATTATTTTAAAATAAGCATACAAATTCAAATACGTCACACACTGCTTGAACGTTTTGCAGGGTATCGTCTTCAACCAGAACTTGTAAGGTTTAAATTCCAATGTAAAGATAAAGCAGTGCTTCCTATACTAAAAACACGTTTCGTTTTGCAAGGCGGGCAACGTGCCACGCTCTGAACCCTCGCGCGCCGCAGCCTCTTAATCTCGCCCAGGATGACACTTTCCCCCCCTTCCCCCCCCGCGCAAAACAGGCCGTCGAGTCCCGGGGGCGTGGCCTCATTCGGCCGCGACTCCGCGTAGCCGGCGCGTTCTTTTCCCCAGCCCTGAGAAGGGAGCGCCGTGGCCTTCGATGGAATAATAAAAAAAAAGGGCAACGGAGCTCAGGCCGGAGCAATCGATCGCCGTTGCCCTCAGTGACGTCACGGGAGGAGGCGGCGGGCGGTTTGAAAGCGGAGGCGGCTCCGAGCGCGTCCGCGGGAAGGAAGCGGAGGTCCTTGCTATCCGCCGCCGTCGCTGGCCGTCGAGATGGAAGCGCCGGGTGGCAGCCACAGCTCGGCCGGTTGCCGGGATACACCGGTGGGACCGGCCGCCACCCTCAGCGGCTCCTTGGACGAGCCGGCGGGAGAAGGAGCTGGAAGACTCCTGACCGAGGAACGGGAGAAGAAGCCGGACCTACTCACGCTGTTCCGGTCCGTTCCTCTTTTGCCGCTCGGCCGCAACGGAGAGGCTGCAACGCCGCGAAAGAGTCTCTCGCCGGGAGACAATAGCCCTGGACCTCAGGGGTGCAGCTGTCCCCATGTCATTAGACTGCCCTTCCCATCATCCTTGATCTATGGGAGGCTGATGAGAATGGAAGCCCAGCGTATGGAGAGCGACCCTTTCACCACCCTTGGAGACTCTAGTTAGAACAGGGGTTTCCCAGCCTTGGGTCACCCAGGTGTTTCTGGACTGCCCTTCCCAGAAGCCCCCGCCTGTTTCTTCAGTTTTCAGTAACAACTGCATTTTTAAAATATATTTTAATGTTGCCTTCGATATTTTGTAGAAAAACAGGAAATGAGGTATTTAAGTTTTAAAGATAATTGTATTACCCTTCCACTGTGTTGGTGTTGCTCGGCCTGAGCTACAATACTTAATGTGTTGCAATTGTATAACATCTGCTCTGGAAGGTTGGGGAAACCCTCTAAGTCAGTCTGTGAGATGGCTCTTGGGACTGAAAGTTTGTCCATTCCTTTCTGCCTGGGTGAATCATCCATTTCACAAGGTTTGTTCTCTGAACTCTGTTTCTGGGTGCTCAGAATTTCATTTTCTAAAAGGATGGACATGTGATAAAATAGATTAGTGTGGAGAATGGGTATAGTCGTGTGGGAAGGAAATATTGTTCCTTCTGAGACTTTCTAAACATGGTTCACGCCCACACATAACAAAAGGAAGCAAAGAGTAATAAATAGAAATTGAGAAGACAGAATTCTTGAGTACATCTCTGCTGGGAAGAAAATAATGGGTAAAATATAGTGGTGGGATTCCCTCTGGACTGTAAAATGAGGAGAAAGGTATAAGAATAATGGCAGTACAGAAGTAAAAACATGCATCGTAAAAAGTACAATGTTTCACAAATTTGAGTTAATCTTTAGATGGTGGTAGTATTTCAATATTAAGCTTATAATACTTGAATGTTTTACAAAAGTTGACCAATTCTTGCTTTAAAATCTTCACTTAAATTGAACAGCTAATATCTGAAGACTTATAAGATTAATGGAATAAACTTTCATGGAAATTAATGCAGCTATTCCTCTTATTGACGTTGTTTTGCTTCTTAATTGCAGTGTGAAGGAACAAATTAAACAACATCTTATGGAATATAATACAACAATTAATGCAAGTAAGTATATCAATGCTATTGTTTAAAAACACTAAATTTTTCATGGCTATAATGCTATGGTAAACATAAAGTCAATATTTTTTCATATCAAGCATGTCCTTGTTTAAAAAAATAAAATACTAGGATGAAGATTGTGAAAATTGTATTTTGAAACTTAGAAACCTTTCTGTGTCATGCTTTGTTTGTCTCAGAAATTGTCTTCTTTCCCTTTTTTTCTAACAATTACATAACTTTTGTTTGGTAGATGAAGAAAGCTTTCCTGATCAAGTTATAGATGAAAAGATAATCGAATGGTATGTTTTTGGAACTATTTATTATTTATGTATTTAATATGCCCCTTTTCTCCCAAGAGAGGTGGCTCACAGTCAATTAAATCAATATCAACACAGTTAAAAGCACCCAGTCAAGAGTACAAAGGACTGTGGGAACCACCAGGCCCACCCCTCAGAAGGACCTCCTTGGATTTCTGGACAAGTTAAAGGCAAATATGAGAAATGCAGGAGGGACTCTTCTCCTAATTCTAGCCCTGCCTCCTCTTCCTTTTTGTTCTTCTATTGAGACAAAGAGAGAAAGAGTCTCGCTGACGCCTCCATGATTCAACAGCACGATCTACATGCAAACAAGGGTATGGGTGTGTGTATGTGTGTGCAGGGATCTGTCCACAACTCACCCTTGCTCAACCAAGCAGCCATACAGAGAGAGATCTCCTGCCCTGCAAGTTTCTGCCACCACAGTGCCTTTCCTCAGTTCTTTCCCAGGCTTTTCGACAATGAGTAGCATAAGCTGGTCTGCCACAAAATGACTCTGCCTACTCTTCCCAATGTGATAACGAATCACCTTAAGATACTGTCAAAGGCTGCCTGATGACAGTTCTGACCTCTAAAACATTTAAAAAGCAAAGAGTAAGACCACTTGCACAACCACCACCATGCCCCCGAGCGCAGTCATGATGCAACCCTCAAACACATGCATGAGGTATGTGCTTTGGCCATTCACACCTTGGTAGCCAACTCCCTGATTGCTAGGACTTCTGTCTTATGGGCCTAGTCCATCCTTCCATAGATGCCAGTGGCTGCCTGCCATCATCTGGACAACAAACTTACATGGGTGTGGAAGGACCAGCTGATTTAGCTATAACCATAGACAAATGGAGGCCTCAGCTGCTTTGAATTCTCAGGACTGACTAGAAGACATTTGCAAAGCAACCACATGGGCCATGTCCATCATGTTGTTCTGGCTTTACCAGATTGATAAGTACGGTTCAGCCAACAGGTCCTTGAGCTGGAGGATCTTGCAACATGCTTTATGAATCACTTGTCTACTTGAGAAGGGTTGCTGCTGTGGTACTTCCTTTTCATTTTGAGTCTGCTCCTTCACTCACAAAGAACAGAAAGTGAATCTTACCAAGAAAGTTCCTTCTGGACAGTGGACCTGACACACACACCCTTCCTGGGCACTAACTTTCTTCTTTTGCTTAGGATATTCAGGGGTTCTTTGTGCTTGCCTCTGCACAATTACCCCAGATAGTTCTGTTTTCCTTAACTTCTTTCCACCCATGGTTTTGGTTCTTGTGTACTGAAAAGTCTGCTTATTTATTCTCATAGTACTGCCAATACTCCTTCAGTCCTGTTTTTATGGTCATAAGAGTCTACAAAATTGTGTTTCATTTTAAAACAACAATAGAGATGGAAGGCTCACCACATCCAATATCAAACTGTGTGTTTTCCTGTTATAGTCTCAGAATATCCCTCTGTCATTCTGTTGTTGATCTAGAAGTTGGATTAAAAGGGAGAAATACTTCTGAATTGATGTCATTATATGGATATAAACTGAAGTTCATTTCTATTTGCTCTTTCAAATCTTACAATTTCCAGTGCAACTTGCAAAATACCTAGAGTGGATATCAGACTGTTTAAATATCACTGTTCTGTAAACATCAGTAACTGAGAAGAAATATTATACACTTTTCACACTATTGTAAGAATGTATTTGAAACCTCCTGAAAAGCTTGACTGAATTATTTCAATATTGTTCACAGTTCTATAGAAGACTTGGAAAAAGAAATGGAGGAGGTGAAGATATCATACCAAAACAAAACCTTGGCATTACAAAGGTAAGGGCTGTGCTTCTATTCACATGAATCATATCCTGTACCTTCTATATAAATTTGTCTTCTCGGGCACCTAACAAAAAAAAAAGGTACAGTTAGTTCTGTTACGCAAAAACAGAATATGGCATCTTTAAGGGAATATTAGTTTGATCAAAAATGAACCATGAACTTTAGATCTTTATGTACAAAATATTCTGACATAGAGCTAGTTCTAATAATATTTGACAACTGAACTACAGCACATTACTTGTATATGGAAATGTGTGTATGAGAAACCACACTTGGTGTCTAATTCTTGTTTCTTGATGTGTTTGTCTATATTGCAACTAGATCTTAAGTGTCATTTCTATTTGCTATATAGGATTCAAATCACTGATGCCCTAAGAAACAAACTGAAGAACAATGACGAGGATTCCAGGTAAGTAGGGCTTAAAGGCAAGGAGTTCTTTAGAACTGATTTATCTATCCTGATGAGGTTTTGCTTATTTTTTAAATGAATGTTCTGTGCTTATACATTACTGGCTGATATCCAATAATGTTTAGTAAGTCACAACTAAAATAGGCCTGTTTACTCACCAAAACCACACGGATTCAAAAGGCTCATTCTGGTTGCAACTTAGCATGCAAAGCAACAGGATTTCAGCTACTGTTTGTGTGGATAGCAGATAGTTTAAGAAACGTATTTGTCCCCAATGACTAAGAATCGTAGGCTAAACATGTAGTCTTTAAAACATCCCCAAGTCTGAAATAGTGCTTTCTAGTTCCAGTTAATCTCCTGAAGATAGTACTATATTGTATGCCAGAAAATTTGTCAAATGCAACTGCTATACTAGCACCTGTTGCTTCAATCACTGGCTACAGTCATGGACTCTGGCTCTAGTTGTCCCTGATGGATAGCAAGGTAAGAAAATTAAGCAGGATCAGATCCGCAACTGGGCTATATCTTAGGCTTGCAATTAGAGATGGGGATATTCATATTTGTAAATGAACACGAGGTGTACCTCATGTGGGTCTGTCCCTCAGAACCAGTCAGTCCACTCATGTGTTGCCACGCTACCAGCCTCCCGCTCTTTTTGCCAATCACAGAAGTCGTTTCGTTTAGTCTTGTCCAACTCTTCGTGACCCCATGGACCAGAGCACGCCAGGCCCTCCTGTCTTCCACTGCTTCCCGTAGTTGTGTCAATTTCATGTTGGTTGCTTCGCAGACACTGTCCAGCCATCTCATCCTCTGTCGTCCCCTTCTCCTCTTGCCTTCACACTTTCCTAACATCAAGGTCTTTTCCAAGGAGTCTTCTCTTAGTAGCTCCACCATATCCCTGCTCTTCTGGCCACTCAACAGTCATGCAGGGAGACTTGTCCTGCCGCCCCTACCTGCAGTCGCCAGCCAAGCCAGGAGAAGGCAGAGCTACTTCTGCGATTGGCAAGAAGAGCGGGAGGCTGGCAGCACATTAGCATGTGAATGGACAGGCCAGTTCCGAGGGCCAGATCTACATTAGGTGCTTCTGGGATGGGGATATTCATGTTCGTTTACAAATGGGAATATCCCCATCTCTACTTGTAATCTTTGGGGATTGTATTGTCATTTCAAAGCTAGTCATTTGAAAGCAACTGGATAAGTTTGTTTAAAAATGGCATTGAACTCTTATTTCATTACTTCACAAGATGGATATGTATAGTTCCACTGCCCAGCTACAAGTAAAAATTGACTCTTTTAAAACTTAGAAGGCTTAAATTGGACATAATAGGAGCAACCCTCTTGTTGATTTTCATATAAATCAGGCAAAGCTTTAGCTCTGTTTAAGAGTAGGAACCATTTGGGAGTCTTCCAAAATGCTACTTTCATCTGTTTCTCAAGGATATCACAACACTGAGAAGGGAGAACACAGAAGGGACTTGCTTGCCCATTTTGTGCTTCAAACGACTGCTACATCATTGTTTCATAGGAAATCGCACATCCTAAGTGTAACACATCGATCATGCTGCCATGCCACATTCCCTTTTCTTTACAGGAATGTAAAATCTGGCCAGAATTCTATTAAGTGTAAATTAATTCATGTACATTTCAGTGACAAACTGCAAGTTAAGAAGTTAGTGCAGGCATTTGCTATTGCACATTAAGTCACATGGCTTAGGAAGCAACAGCAAATGCCTTCATTGATATAACAATTTGCAACCATGATTTCTTTACCAACTGTATGCCAACATAAAAACACCATAGGATTCCAGCAAATGTATTTTACAGTGACATTTTAGTGCTTGTAACTTTGTGCAGCTGCCCATCTTGATACCCATTTGTCTGACATGCTTAGGCAACATAACACACACATGCTAGGAATAAAAGTGGAAGATCCATGTCATGCAATTTTAATTCATAGTCAAAGGAAGAATTAAACAGCATATTATGCTGTTTCTTCTTTTCATATTATCCCAGCCACAAGGTGCATTTCTTAGAAGAATGATATTGTGAGGCTGGGAGTACCTCCAGAGGCACTCCACAGAGTGTACCGGCCATCTCCTCGAACAAAAACCCTGAGGGATGTCTGTCTGCCCTAGTAAAGGATTTACAAGGCCTACATTTAGAGAAGGAGACACTGGAGGGTGCTATTTTGGCAGGAAAGGGAGAGAAAAGGGGAAGAGAGAGAGAAAAAGGCGCAGTTGGAATTAGAGGAGGAGTGTTGTTGGGTGCAGGAGGCAGAGAGCGAAGGCAGAAAGGAAGACTGGGCAGTGATTGTGCAGGAGGACCCCTGGACAGGGGAGTGGGTTGAATTCAAAGTCCCAAGAGAATATGCCGAAAACGAGTGGAAGAGGCAAGTCTACAGAAAGCCATCCTATTGGGGGAAAACTGAAGAGAGAAAGGAGAATGCAGTTTAAAGCCTGGCAGCAGCGGGAGACCCAGAGAAGGGAGCACCGACAATGTACAGAAATTCATGGGCAACCCCGTGGGGCCAGCCCTTTCGGGCCCAGATTGAGGCAAAACCCAGGCAAGAAATGATGGGAACTGCAGGTGCGCTGGATTTCCCCCCCTCCTCAATGACACCTAGTACATTTGCACATGAAGCCTTGGGCTTATCACCAAAGTGGTATTGTAAAGTTTTGAGTTCTTCACCCCTACCATTTAAAGGGGACTTGTTAGAGTTTGAAGATGAGAAAAAGTATGACCTATCCCTGAAACAAGAGATGAGAACCCCTGTTGACAGTTTGATAAGTTGTCAAAGAATAAAGATGTTTTATCAGAAGAATTTGGCTTTCATGACTCATCTTTATATCAAAACGTAGCAGAGGGAGATATAGGAGCTGCACAGAATCAAAGATATGTTAGAGGGTTTTTTTCCCACTTTTCAGAAGTAAGAGTCATACTCATTTCTGCTTTCACTTCCAGTAGGTACATCTGGAATACTATAAAACACATCATGATGCTTAGTACCACAATACTTCAATTACAACAGGTATGTTTTACACTTCTTCATATAAAACTATTCAGGCTCATTTTCTACAAAGGGATCTAGCATCAAATAGATTTGAGTGTAGCTTTACATTTTGAAAAAAACTTTATTCTTTTTGTTTCTCATTGTTATTGTCATATGCTGTAAAATTGCTTCTGACTTGATGGCATAACTGATTTTTATAGTCTACTATATTCTGACAACATAGTTACATAGATAAATTGCAGTAATGAAGGTACAGAATGTATTAATGAACTGCTTGTTTGTGCAGCAATCACGTGAATTGGAAGAAAAACTGAATGAAGTTAAGCAGAGCAGACTGGGTGAGTTCTAAATAGCAGTGAAAATAGTGTTTGGTAGCATTGTTTTTTTATAACTTCTGCACCACCTTCTCCATGTGATAACTGCTATATCGCACTGTTATTATACCTAAAGGGAGACTATTAAAGTAGGCAAAACATTTCTGTATTAGCAAGAGACTGAGTGATAGGTCTTCAGTTTGCAAAAACAGCAGTTGCATTGTTTGAAGCCTCATAAAGCTTTCAACTAACTTTACTCCAGTTCTGCTTCTGCTGTACCTGAGCTTGACATCTCTTGCCACTTCATGGCAGTTGTAGCAGATTAGTAGCCTAATCGTAAGAAGAAATCTGTTGAATATTCCCAAGCTGTGAGCTACAAACCATGCATGCATGAATCTACATATCATGAACAACTAGTCAAGCTAAAAAAAAGAGATTTCATTAGAATCTACAATACAGTCCTAACGTGTTGACTTACTAAATTTCAAAAGCCAGATCAATACCTTCTTTTTTTATTTAACAAGGGGTGACAAAATACTGGCTTACTAAATTTCAGAAGCCAGAGCAATACCTTCTTTTTTTTTATTTAACAAGGGGTGACAAAAAAGGAAAAGGGGAATTGAGGTTAAATGGGAAGAGGAGAAACAATAACATACTAATGTCCATTCTATACATATTGCCATATCAAAATTCCAAATTACTCTTTTTAGATCAATACCTTCCACAAGGCTGTTTCAACAATGTTGTCAGTGAAATAAAAAGAATACTGTATCAATCACTAGTTGCAGTTGCCAACTAAAGGTTTTATATCAATTAATAAGAGTACAACTGGAGGGAAATGTGTGCTTGCATACTTTACCCTTAAACAACTACTTACTGAAGACAAAAACCCCAAACAAGCCCTCACTTGATTTGGATCTAGGAATTAGACCTTGCAGCAGACTCAGATGGCAACTCTGTTCTCCTTAATCAAAGAAGTAAGGGAACTCATGACCTCAGTGGTACAGTCTTTTGAAGCCAGGATGCTGGTACACTCAAAGGAGTGTACCAGTGGGATCTCGACTTACGAACGGCTCGAAGTGAGGTGTATTCAAAGGAGTGTATATAGTTCTCTCTGGGTGCATAATGGACATGTGTGTGTCTGTGAGTAAACTGGGGAAACAGTCAGGAATCACCCATAAACAATTTTGGTAATGGAAGCCTTTTCATCAAAAAGTAAAGCCAATTACTGTATAATTAGAAATTTTGCAAAACAGTAGCCACATGCTCTCTGAAACTGTATAAGAGCTGAGGCTTGGCCACCTATATTAAAGATTAAAGTATGAGCTTTCATAAACTGCTGTCCACTTTCTCAGACATATGAATGTGTGTCGAAGGCAGTGGACTGTAGGGAAATGATTCTGCTGTAGGCAGAACAGAGAGCATATTATTAGTCTAGTAATTTTCCATTAGTCTATGTACTTTCTATATATCTATGTGCCATGTGGGCCTGTCCTTAAGGCAACAGGAAGAAGTGTTTTCTCATTTCCTCTTGTATTGTGTGACGAAAATTAGTAGGCGTCTGTAAGTATGCCTAGAAGCAATGTAATAGGCTGTAATCTGGAGGAGAGGCGTTTTATGGAGGCAATAAATCACTCTGACGGCTGGCTGGGAGAGACGGGGGAAAAGATTAGCAAATTTATCTCAGCATGAGCTTTCATAAACTGCTGTCAACTTTCTGAGACATATGAATGTGTGTCGGAGGCAGTGGACTGTAACACACAAAAGCTCACACTGAAATAAATCCAGTTCTCCCGGCCATGCTAAAAGAGTTAACTAAGAGCTAAGTAATCTGCAGTCTGAAGTCATTTATTTTACAGCACTTGCATTCCCCGAGCCGGTCTTGGACAGTGGACTGTAATACACAAAAGCTCACATTGAAATAAATCCAGTTGTCTTTAAGGTGTTACAACTCTTGTTTTTATTTCTGTTATTCTATTTTAGATTATCTTTCTGTAATTCAAGCTATACTTTGAATCTTGCGTTTCAACCCAGTCAGCACAAGGCAGATTTTTTTTACAATTTTACTCATTTGCAGTTATATATCTCCCCTGCATCCCCATAAAATAGCACTGAAGCGAGCTGGAGAATGCAAATTAACACAAATACATGATATGAAAAGAAAACGAAGAGAGGAACTGGAAAACATGGAAGTGGGTGAAATGCTGAAGAAGGTCCGTAGAAATCTGCAACAGGAAATTCAAATGACTACACTGATTCAAAACATTTTCCAGGTAAGCTGCACTGAGCATGAAGACAGATCTGTCACAATGATCAAGATGAGCTAATGTATACTGTGTGCAAAGGAAGTACATTGACATTGTACTATTAGAAAGAACCCTACTAATGGGATAACAATCATCATATAGTATGTGAGCTTTTGTGGATCAATCACCACTTCATCAGACTTGTACCACTATGAAGAACTTAAAGTAAAAAAGTTCTTAGCATGATGGATTTCACCAGGCATGTCTTTTTTAGATGATGCAGGAAGCAGAACATGTGCTGTTTTAAGGTTACAGCCGAGGCAGCTGTGGATTAGATATTATGCTCCAGTTTTTCAAATGAAGCAGTACAGACACGCACACCACCCCCTGTATTTCAACTTAATGTCAGATACTTTCCTTTGAAAGTGCTATTCATAGTTGGAAAATTATCACATACGTAACTAGTAGTACAGAAATTGGTATAGTACCATTTTGTTAGCAGAGCTAAACTTTTCTCTTTAAATGAGAAAACTTCCCTTTGACTTTGGAGCATTAACTGCATTTGAAAGAAAGAACCAGAAACTAAATAGCTTTGACAAAGTAGAGATGTGTTACATAATGTCGTGAATTCTGGAAGATCTTGACTACAGGTAGCTATAATACTTACAGTAATACTAAGCAATGTAAGTGATCCCTAGTTTGAGTTTTCTGTTATCAAACTCTTATGTATTTGGATGTTAAAGCAGGGTCACAGCTCAGAGCAGAGAAGCTTGCTTATATCTTTTTGAAAACTGAACTGGTTTTATTTCAGAATCTCATTATTGGAAGTGGAGTTAATTGGGCAAAGGATCCAGCTCTGAAGGACGTTGTTCTGCAACTGGAAAAGAACGTGACTGCAATCTGAAGAATCAGCAATGCTTTATTGCACTTTCCAGAACTTGCTAATTCAGAGGATAAACAGTTGTTTGACAAGCTATTTTAATGAATGATATGTGTACTTAGAGTTGAATATCTGTAAAGAACACATTGTATTGCAGTGAATAGAGACATCACAGCTCAAAGGAGGTTTGTGGTGGTTAATTTAAGGGCTAGATTTATGAGGTTTACCTTGGAATTGTCAATACAACCATATTTGGTGGTCTGTTAATGAGAAATACTGTGACTACAGAATCCTCAGTTTCTGGAACAATTCTTGGCCTTTGCTGTAGGGCAAAGTCAGAATATTATGTATGCTACATGTACTGGGAAAAAACAAAGTATATCAGTGTTTTTTTGTTTGTTTTTCTAATTTGAAAAAGTTATAGTTGTTCACTTACATCATACACACACATTGAAGCAGCTAAAATTTTGTTAAACTGACTAGTTATAGTTATCGTTGAATAATTTCACTAAACTTTGAAAGTTACCATAACTATACTGCTGTTGTTCTTCTGCATTTCAGCCTGATTTTTGGCTAACAGACTTACCACCAAAACATATCCTTAAATAAGGTGGCTAATCTCCATGTCTAGGCCCATGTCCTTCTGACACATGTTGCAAGATAAACCATTACTCATTGCAGCCATGGCCCTCCAGTACAAGATAGGTTTCTATCAGTCTGGTCAAGTTGGCTTGAAACTAGCACCGGTATTTTAAGCAAATCACCAGAAACAGCTTATGTGAGAATAATAATGTAATCTAGATAGTGGAATGCTCGTGTAAGGTATACATGAGAGTGACAATACCTGGCATAACTTTTTGTGAGAAAATCAATAGAAATGATATGATTAACCAGTTATATTATCTGAAAACAGGACAGAGGAGTGATGGTAGAATAGTTTCATCTTCATTATGATTTCATTTGAAAAGCAGATGATTAAATATTGTCCAAACAGAGATGGGGCCAATAATTCAAGGCAAAGGTGTAACGATGGTTCTTTATGTTGATGCTCTTTTTTAATTATTTTTTTGAAAGAGAAAGAAAAATACAAATTCAATGCTGGTGGGAAAGGAAGCAGGAAATCAGATGGAGCTCTTATGAAAAATCTCATGGGAATTCTGATATGTCAGGGCAGAAAAGGTTTTCTTGATCCCTTAAGGGCATTTTACAGAAGTCCCCAAAAGAGACTTTTTATAATGGAACTTGCATTCCTTCTACAAGACAACAGAACACTCAGGTCTCTCACTACAAATTAGTAGGTAGCATTGTGACACTTGGTCAGAGTGGAATCCGGGTGTTGCTAAGTCTCTTCTAACACGCGTTCTCAGACTAAATTGAGTATTTTGATTCCGGGCTGTTAAAAGACTAAAAAATGGGGGGGGGGATGGTGGTTCCAGTTGCCCCTTGAAATACAAGCTGTACCTAGAATGAGCAGACTGCCAAAAGGGGGAAATCTGTCCATCAATTGGAAAGGTTTTGCCTTCTGTGTCTTATCTGCTTGGGAAGGAATTTTCAAGGCCAAAAACTCAGTCCTGGTCCAAGCTAATTAACAAACCAATTTCTACAGGAATGAAGGGAGAGAGGGAGAGTGAAATCACTTTGGAGATGTTGCTCTCTTTGAAAAGATTCGAGGTAATTTGAGACTTGATTGGTGAATTCCCTCCAAAGGTCTAGAAAATGGAATGGTGGAATAAAAATGGAGTGAGTTTGCTTGGTTTATCCTCACCTGCTGTTTTGTTACCTGATTTGTACTCCACACATGTTTAGGAACCATGCTGAAGTTCTGCTTGAATGTATTAGCTTAGGATAGTTAGCTTTCTTATTTTCAGTGGGAACTGCTCTAAAATTGCCTTTGCATCAATATCTTCTGAATTTTTATTTGCTCCTTGCCTTTTTGAGTGCTTTTGGAATTTTTCAAACTATCTTTTGAAATTCTTTGAAACTTTATACTATTTTACATCTATTTGCAACATCTTCAATAAAATAAGATTTTATAGCAGTTTGGTTATTTTGATATGGAGGGTTGATTGATACTAAAGAAAAACCTTGTCTTGATCACCTATTGGATTCCTTATATTTTGTGGATATTTTGGCATTCCTAGCTAGCAGGGTCGGCATGCAGACAGGCTAAGATGCTTAGCCTTGTTAATTTTTTTGTAGCTCCCTGAAGCACTGAGCAGTCATAGTGGCTCAACATGCTGGGAGAGTGGTACTGGGTAGGAAAATTCCACCAACACATTTAGCCCTCCTGAAATTTACCTATACCAGGAAAGTCTGGGCAGTGTGTGTGAATGGTTAGTTGGGTCTCTCTGACCCAGCCATAACCTTGAGAAAGGGACTTGAATATACAGAATAGCAACAGAATATTGTAGTTGTAACAGCAGCAGATGCAGTATAACAGTTTGCTCAATTATTACTGCAATGCTATCACTATATGCAACAAGAATTTCATGGATGAAAGGTACCTGTCCCCAAGTATCTTAAAAACTGAAATAAAGATGTAAGAAAATAAAGGCGAAAGGAGGGTGGGAAATTGCTTCTGCAATGTATGTGCTAAATTTCTTACCATACAAATAATGTTGGATCAAATTGAATATCTAGCCTACCATTCTGTATACACAGTGACCAGCCTCCTGCCTCTTAACTATGTGTTATGTGGGAAGAACATACTTTACCTGTTCTTGAATCCCTGTCCATTCAGCTTTCAGTGCAGTTTTCACCAAATTTTATCATAAAATATATATCTCCCTACCCACATTCTCCACACATTTCCACTCCCTTTATCTTCTTCCTAAGCTAAAAAGCACTAAATATTGTAACCTTTTCCTCCTACCTAGAGGATTTGCTCCAGACTCTGTTTTACTCCATTCTACATACTGTATTTTCCAACCTTGCAGAGACCCAAAGTATCTAGAATTCCACATGTATATGGAACAGGGTACCTGCAAGTGTGAAACAAGCAACTATTTCACTTGGAGCGAACTGGCCTCTTGCAAACGCTGTCGGCTCGACTGGTCGCCGCTGTTTAGCATGTTAAAGCTGACCTGCCCCAACCTTAATCATAGGGGCTGAATTGCCTTCCCTGAAGTCCCATTCGGTCTAAGAGCACACGACGGCTTCGTTCTGGGACGGTGTCTGGTCCTCCAACCGCCACCCCTTCAATTTGAACAGGAAAAATAATCTTCCATCATTGCACTTCAATAAAAAGCTTCAACTCTTCAACCTCTGCCTGCTGCGCAGCGCTACTAATTCGCGGCTTTTTCCGCTGCGCGCAAATGCCCTGCTCGGCGCCACGCCACGCCCTCGGCGGGGCGGGGCTGCAGCGGCTACTAATTCGCGGCTTTTTCCGCCTCGCGCAAATGCCCTGCTCGGCGTCAGGCCACGCCCTCGGCGGGGCGGGGCATCCCCAAGCCCCGCCTCCTTGCCCCTGAAACGCTCGGCCTGTCCCTGTTCTTCCCGCTGCCCGGGCGAGGGGGTGTCACCATGGGCAGCAAGATGGCGGCTGCCAGTAGGGTCGTTCAGGTAAGTCCTTGAACTCTGGCTGCTGCGGAGGGCACCGCGCGGTGGGGTTTTGTCTCCAGATGGCACTAAGGAGAGTAGGCCCGGCTTCAGTGTGGTGGAAAGCCTGGCTCCTGCCCGGGGAGCGGGGGAAACTAGCTGAGGTCGGAGTCCTTGGGGGCGCGGAGGAAAAAGGAGGGTGACCCTGCGTTCCGATGGAGATGGCTCTGTGTGTGTGTGTGTGTGTGTGTGTGAGAGAGAGAGAGAGATTTTCCCCCCGCCCCATGGTGTTCCGATGGGGCTGGCTGTGTGTGTATGTGGGTTTTTTTAAAAAAAATTTCCCCCAGCCCCATCGCATTCCGATGGAGCTTTGGCTGTGTGTGTATGTGGGCTTTTTTAATTTTTCCCCCCAGCCCCATCGCATTCCGATGGAGCTGACTGTGTGTGGGTGTGTTTTGATTTTTTTGATTCAGCCCCTTTGATTCAGCCCCTTTGATTAAGGTTGGGGCAACGATTTTCTGAGAGAAGGGTTGCATTGCAGTGTGTATGTGTTTTTTTGATTTTTTGAGTACCAAAACATTTGCAACGATTTTCTGAGAGAAGGGTTGCATTTTCTGATAGAATTGCATGGGTGCCAATATTTTTGGCCATGACTATATATGCCAGAAAAGGTTCCAGAGCACCTTCAAGACAAAATAGAAACAAAACTGCTTTCCTCCGGCTTATACTGTAGTCTAAAACCTTTGAGTATTATTGGTCTCTTTATAACTGGTAATCCATCACATGAACACCTCTTCAGACTATTCAAATAAGGGCAGCAAGGCTGAAAGTTATATTTTTAAAATAACTGTTAGAAAAGTCTTATTGACTTTTTATGTAGTTTAACCAGTTGGTTCATCTATTTTCTGTCAGTATCTAGCTTATTATATACACATCACAGTTTTCTCATCTGTCATCTGGTAGTAGCCATTGCATTAGCCCCCTTTGGAGGGGATGGATGGAAAGCAGCCTTCCTTATTCTGCGCACTAAATAATTAAATAATAATAAGGCCTTTCCAAGTGGGTGTTCTCTCTTTCTCCCTCCTTGTAGGTAATTGGAATTGGCCTATCAAGGCATTTGAAAATTTCTGCAATACCCTCACTTCTGCTGGGAGTGATGAAAGAGTGATGTTCCTTCTGGCTCCTCTTCTATTTGCTGTGTTGCTGTTCTAGCCAGTCTTTGTAAAAAGCTTTATGAGTTGAAGAACTGAATGCCTGAGTTGTCTTGTTTTTCTCTTTCTTACTCATTTCTTTAGTGCTGTGCCTGGTGCCCACTACAGTATGAATGTTTAATCAATTTAGTATGAATGTTGGACTTTGCAACCTGGATAGTTGGATAAGTTAAGGTTGCTGGCTGTGGAAGTAGAGGCTGAGTGTTCAGTTTCCCATTAAGTCTGCTAACTAGAATAGCCTTGTGCAATCTTCATAGTTCCAGAGCACCCCCAGAAGAAGGGAATGATATACAGCTTCTGAATATGCCATATGGAGGGCATCCTGGAAAGGGTTGCTATAAGTCAGAATTTACTCAAGAGCATGTGATCATTATTTACTATTACTGGATTCTGCACCTAGTTGCTTAGTGCTTATTAACCTTGCATGTAGATAAATCTGCCTCCTCAAGGAGTACAAAAATTTGTACTCCTTGAGGAAATTTAGCAACTGTAGTTAGATTTGTCTTTTGATATCATTAGTGTGTTACCTCGTAAATAGATGATGTTTATGAGGTAAGCATGAAAATTTTAGTCTTAAGAGTATGCCAGTAGTTTAAAATTGAAATCTTCAAAAATCTTTACATTCTATTCTCAAGCAGTAAGTCTGTCTTTTAAAAATGTGATCGCATGTAGGCTGCCCCAAGAGATTAAAGTTATGTGAGATTAAAATATTAAAAATAAACAGATACATTCAGCTGCATTCTACCTTAAACCCATTTCTGTTGCTGGTCTTCCATTCAAGTGAGACCTTTGTAGGGTTTCCATGTTATGCAGAAAGGAATAAAAGGGCACTACGTAGCTACCATATCCTTTCTTAGCAAGAAAATTCTCTGTCGTGGGCACTACGTAGCTACCATATCTGGTGGATTGCATCCTTTCTTAGCAAGAAAATTCTCTGTCGCAAACATATAAATGAGTATATCAACTTTCTTTTCTAATATAACTTGTTTTTCCCAATTCATATCTTTTCCTCTAGGTGGTTAAGCCACATATGCCTTTAATTAAGTTTCCAGACAGAAGAAGTACTCCCAAGCCAAAAAGTAAGTATTTTATTTTATTTTGTATCACTTTTTCATAATAATGTTCTGAAAAGGCATATATGTTTAGGAATCCCACTGAGTTTCATAGGACTTCCTCTCAGGAAAGTGTGCATAGAGTTTCAACCTTAGTTACTCTATTTGTTAGAATGGAAAGCAGTTTAAACACACAATCGATATTACTTCAGACTAGTGATTCCACAAAGCTGAGTTTCAAAATGTCTTTGAGCTTCTGGAAGTTTATGTTCAACAATATGTGGAGATCCAAGTTCGGGAACTATTGTATTGTCTTACACAGGAGTCCAGAATTTCCTCTTTTCGTTTCACAAGAGCATAGAGTCCACTACAACAATCCACACTGCCCCACTCGAGATAACTTTCAACTTTATAGTGAGTTGTCAAGGGCCCAGTTGTGCTGGGGAGAATCGGGTACTTAGAAATGTGTGTCATTTCCACACACATCCATTTCTATTTAAATTGGGAAGAAGGTTGTGCATAGTGATCTCGAAACTGAGGGAAGTTTCAAATCTCCCCATCTGTACATACCAAAATTGGGAAGAGTGTTCATATATGCACTACACACAACTCCTTAGGTAGTACCCATTGCTATCTCATATTCCCTTAGTGGCAGGAGTTTTCTTCCACTGTATATGATGCATAGTATATTTTTGGTAGGTTAGGTAATTTAGAACCTCTCTCTCTCGGTGCTTCAGTACAAGAACCTCTACAGTCAAGAGTGCCTCCACTTCATGCATCATCTTCACAGCTCTCTGCAGGAGGAGGGCCACCATCCCAACAAAATATTTCCTTCAGTGGTAGAATACAAGGCACACCCGACACAGCAGAATTAGTAAGAACATTACCTCAAAAATACAGACGGAAACCTATAAACACTGAAGAGATGGAGTATATCCAAGTAAGTTCTGTGACATTTCATGTACGTTCTGTGACAAAATCATGTATTGTTTTTCTTGTGTTTATTTTATTTAAATAGCAACAGCTAGAGTCTTGTTTACAATTTACACTTGCATAAGAGGATTACATAAGCCTTGGTTGCACGTTTCTGTTCAGTGGCAAGGTGCTTGTTGTGTTCCTGGGCACATACCCAATCATGTGATCAGATACACTCCCAGGAACATAACCAGCACTTCATTAATGGACAGCATTTTGCTACCAAGAGATATTTGGTTTTGCTTATACATGCATAAATCAATAATAGTCTTACTTTCATTGCATCTTTGAAGCATAAACGGAACTCAAGTTAGCCATTAAATCAGAATCAAATGAGTCGTTCAACCCAAGTTTCAATAGACACAACATAAGGGCCAGTACATTACGGCCCCTGTATCTGTGAGGAATCAGTTCCATTATGTACCATGGATGCCTGAAATTGGATATGAGGAAGCTCTTTAGACAACATACAAGGGGTCAGAACAAAGACTACTAGGGAATGCCCTTATATATAGGGTTGTGGCAAACCAAGGATAAGTGAAACTGTGGATACTGATTCCATGGTTACGGGGGTCCTACTGTACATTTGTGAATGGGTTCAGTTTCACCTTTTGACAACTCACATTGCGCGGGAAATATCACAGGTCATGTCTTCTTTACTTTAATACTTCTTTATTAGTAACAGGCAAATCAGCAATTGCGTGGGAAATATCACAGGCCACGTCTTCTTAACTTTAACAACTTCTTTATTAGTAACAGGCAAATCAGCATTATTCATGATGGGATCGAAAAGGCTTAACAGGCAACATGCCGTAACTGTCAAACACATAATCCCAACCACCATCCGTTGAGTTCATAGGGGTGCTGGGCCAAACCTCTCAGCATCCAAAGGAGTGCGCCCCGCACTGCGCAAATGGTGCCGCAGCATGGGTGTTGTGCCCAGTCCCCTTCTGGAGGGGGAGTATTATAGCATGAATCTGGTCTAATCACTTGCCACCCTCACTCTTTATTCTTTGGGAAGACTACCACTGACCACTCTAACGTCTCATACTTTACCTCTCCTCCTTCTTTTGGAGCAGGATCCGGTAACAGCCCACCAAGCTTCAGATTAGGGAAGTCTCTCAGTAGCTCCTGGGTCTTTCATATTCTCTCAACCTCTTCAGCTTCCTCTTTCATTTCCACAACTCCAACTCTACCTTGAACCGCCACTCCCCCTGACTACTTATACAGTGGTGCCTCGCATAGCGATCTCTCCGTATAGCGATGAAATCGCTTTGCGATGGACTTTTTGCTATCGCAAGAGCGATCGCTTTGCCCTATGGGGAAAATTTGCTTTGCGATGATCGCGGGGAAGCGACCATGGCAAAGCCCCCATTTTCGCACAGCTGATTGGCGATTTCAAAATGGTCGCCCGCTGTTTTGCCTCGCTTTAGAGGCACCGAAAATGGCCGCCCCTATGGAGGATCTTCGCTTTAAGGTTAGTTTTTAGCCCATAGGAACGCATTGAAGGGGTTTCAGTGCGTTTCTATGGGCTTTTTTAAATCGCTTAGCGATGAAATTGCTTAGCAGCAATTTTTGCTGCATGGATTAACATCGCTAAGCGAGGCACCACTGTACTATCTTGCCAAATGGACAGTTCTTGCTCCTCCCCTTTCTTATCCCTGCGCTCTTCCACTAAACTCACTTCAAATTTCCTGCCTCGCTCAGTCTTCTCCTTTTCCGCAGCTGCATTCTCCCTTTGGTCCGCCTGTTCCTTCTCCCTTTGTTTTCTCCCCTCCCTCTTCTCCTTTGTCCTCTAGGGATGGCACACTCTCCTCTGGGCCACCTTCACAACATTCAAACATTAATGGAGCACTAAATTGCTAATAAAATAGCTGCATGTTTAAACAGGTCCAGCAGCCTACCAGCCAAACGAAAATTGGGGGAAAACCACTCAGAATGATAAATTCAACAATGAGAACCTTGATAACAGGGAGGCCTTTGTCTGATGTTTAGAAAAAACAGAGGCAGATGCTCAGGAATTTTTTCACATGGAGTGCAACCACAGAAAGTTGTGTTTTTCCAGCAGTAAATTGCCTAAAGCAAAGGTTCTCAACCTTTTATCTTACAGTCTACCGATCACTCTTTCAAAGAACCTGAGTCTTGCCATGACAGAAAAAAGAACCAGAAAAAAGAATGAGGAATGATGATTTAGAGGTGTCCTGTTACAGTATTTATCATTTACAATAAATTGCTGAGTGTACTGGGAAAAAAGGAAAAAAAAGAGTATCCAGAAGGGCTACTAGCATGTCATGTTCCTAATGTACAGTAGGATCCCCATTTGGTGCTACAAGTTGTTAGGCATCATCAAGTCCTTTCCAACTTACAGGAACCATATGAATGACCTCCAAAATGGCCCGTCATTAACATCTCTTCAAGTCTTGCAAACTTAAGATTGTGGCTCCCTTTACAGAGTCAATCCACCTTGTGTTTGGTCTTCCTTATTTCCTGCCTTCCACATTTCTTAGCATTATTATCTTATTTTATCTTCATCAGGCAATGTATTCACACACTAATTTTTCAGTATCCTTTGTTATGGTTTCAGTTACCCTCTGATTTTTTGATAGTATGTCACTTCTCTTATGTTGTTCTCTTTAGTTTTTCCCTTCAATGGTTATCATAATAGTTATCTTTGTATGTTGAATTGTGACTGGAATATTGCTAAGTTCTGGAACATTGGGCATTAGCCTGTTTCTACCCTCTCAAGAACTTCATCCAAGATGTCTATCTTTGGTTATTATTACATCATACATTTCCTTAAAGGCTATGTTTCAGGTTAGAGTTTCAGGACACAAGAAGCAGCTACTTCTCTTAACCTAAGCATGGCTGCATCTGGTCAGTTCTTGGATGGGAACTACCTAGGAGACTTTGTGCAATGGTATGGTAAAATAAAGAAAGCATTGTCGTCGTTAAGTCGTTTAGTCGTGTCCGACTCTTCGTGACCCCATGGACCAGAGCACGCCAGGCCCTCCTGTCTTCTACTGCCTCCCGGAGTTGTGTCAGGTTCATGTTGGTTGCTTCGCAGACACTGTCCAGCCATCTCATCCTCGGTCGTCCCCTTCTCCTCTTGCCATCACACCTTCCTAACATCAAGGTTTTTTCCAAGGACTCTTTTCTTCTCATGAGATGGCCAAAGTACTGGAGCCTCAGCTTCAGAATCTGTCCTTCAAGTGAGCATTCAGGGTTGATTTCCTTTAGAACTGATAGGTTTGTTCTCATTGCAGTCCAGGGGATTCTCAAGAGCCTCCTCCAGCACCACAATTCAAGGGCATCAATTCTTCGGCGGTCTGCTTTCTTTATGGTCCAGCTCTCACTTCCATACATCACAACAGGAAAAACCATAGCTTTGACTATTCGGACTTTTGTTGGCAAGGTGATGTCTCTGCTTTTCAAGATGCTGTCAAGATTTGTCATCGCTTTCCTCCCAAGAAGAAGGCGCCTTTTAATTTCAGGGCTGCTGTCTCCATCTGAAGTAATCATGGAGCCCAGGAAGATAAAATTTGACACTGCCTCCATATCTTCCCCTTCTATTTCCCAGGAGGTGATGGGACCAGTGGCCATGATCTTAGTTTTTTTGATGTTGAGTTTCAGACCATTTTTTGCACTCTCCTCTTTCACTCTCATTACAAGGTTCTTTAATTCCTCCTCACTTTCTGCCATCAGAGTGGTATCATCTGCATATCGGAGGTTGTTGATATTTCTTCCGGCAATCTTAATTCCGGCTTGGGTTTCTTCCAGTCCAGCCTTCCACATGATGTATTCTGCATATAAGTTAAATAAGCTGGGGGACAATATACAGCCTTGCCGTACTCCTTTCCCAATTTTGAACCAATCAGTTGTTCCATTTGTACTTCTGGGAGTTCTCGGTCCACATACTGCTGAAGCCTACCTTGTAGGATTTTGAGCATAACCTTGCTAGCGTGTGAAATGAGTGCAATTGTACGGTAGTTGGAGCATTCTTTGGCACTGCCTTTCTTTGGGATTGGGATGTAGACTGATCTTTTCCAATCCTCTGGCCACTGTTGAGTTTTCCAAACTTGCTGGCATATTGAATGTAGCACCTTAACAGCATCATCTTTCAAGATTTTAAATAGTTCAATTGGAATGCCATCACCTCCACTGGCCTTGTTGTTAGCCAGGCTTTCTAAGGCCCACTTGACTTCGCTCTCCAGGATGTCTGGCTCAAGGTCAGCAACTACATTGTCTGGGTTGTCCGGGATATCCACATCTTTCTGATATAATTCCTCTGTGTATTCTTGCCACCTCTTCTTGACGTCTTCTGCTTCTGTTAGGTCCCTCCCATTTTTGTCTTTTATCATGTTCATCTTTGCGCAAAATGTTCCTCTAATATGTCCAATTTTCCTGAACAGATCTCTGGTCTTTCCTTTTCTGTTATCTTCCTCTATTTCTTTGCATTGTTCATTTAGGAAGGCCCTCTTGTCTCTCCTTGCTATTCTTTGGAAGTCTGCATTCAATTTTCTGTAGCTTTCCCTATCTCCCTTGCATTTTGCTTCCCTTCTCCTCTCTGCTATTTCTAAGGCCTCGTTGGACAGCCATTTTGCTTTCTTGCATTTCCTTTTCTTTGGGATGGTTTTTGTTGCTGCCTCCTGGACAATGTTACGAGCCTCTATCCAAAGTTCTTCAGGCACTCTGTCCACCAAATCTAGTTCCTTAAATCTGTTCTTTACTTCCACTGTGTACTCATAAGGGATTTGGTTTAGATTATACCTGAGTGGCCCAGTGGTTTTTCCTACTCTCTTCAGTCTAAGCTTGAATTTTGCTATGAGAAGCTGATGATCAGAGCCGCAGTCAGCTCCAGGTCTTGTTTTTGCTGACTGTATAGAGCTTCTCCATCTTTGGCTGCAGAGAATATAATCAATCTGATTTCGATATTGCCCATCTGGTGATTTCCATTTATAGAGTCGCCTCTTGTGTTGTTGGAAAAGAGTGTTTGTGATGACCAGCTTATTCTCTTGACAAAGAAAGCATATTACTATACAAACTAAGAAATGTTTTTAATGCTTGGCATTTTGCTGTTTCTACTTCATTTTTTATTATAAAGAAAATACATTTGATCATGTCTGACATGTTTATAAATGAAAGTGCAGTATTTCTGATTGGGAAAAGAAACTCCAAAACAACCTCCTCAAACCACATGAACCTTGTTGAAATTTATTTATTAATGGCTAAAGTGATTTTGCACTATATTTATTTTTTGTATAAGTAGTTTTTGGCTTACATTGTGAATAATTGTGCTTTATTAACAGTTATATGAGGAGGATGTGTAGCAGGAACAATAACAGACAGTTGAAAAGTGTGAAGGAATGTTTATGAATGGCTAGGAATCACTATGATCTGTTTTGGGAGGAGACTATGAATAAGTGTGGTCTTTTAAAGCAAGTATCTACATCTACACATCAAAGTGCTTATGTTATAAAACATAAAAGTAAAAGCTTATGGGTGTATGATTAAGAACCTGACAATTTGAAACTTTATTCTTATATTCTCTTTTCAGTTGTTAACTGAATCTTTTTATGCCTTTGTTCGTTCATTCTAGTTTATTTTTTTTAGAGACAACAGTCACAAGGTATTATATCCACTTGTACTGCTGGCCTCTGCTAAGATACATGATTTTTGCAGTATCATCAAAATAAATCAATTTCTGCTGTGCTTCATCAGAAATATTCTTAATTTGAAAAGGGGCATTGTGAAGTCAGCCTTTAGTTGTGACAGTATATAAGCAACAGTATAGGAGGGAACACTGATTGTTTGCCTGGGTTAATCCAGGAGAATGAGTCCCTGTCCACTGGTTTGAACAGCAAACCCAAATATGGTGTAGCGGTTTGTGGTGGCTGTCATTTGTGAGGCAGAGAGGATATGTTAGCACCTCAGCTACTGAACATGGACTTTTGCTAAAGTCTGTTAAAAGTCATCTTAAAGTAGCAGGTGTAAAAACACTTCAACAGAATTATGAAATGTACCTAAAAAGTTAGGCCATTATCCCATTGCCCAACCGCTGAACGATAGCTGTGTATGTGTTCCTCTGGGTCCTGCCGGCTGCCCAGCATATTCTTGTTTAGCACTGGTTGGAAGGTCAGTCACAACTAGTCACACTATGTAAAACCCAAAGGAACATGGGTAATGCTTACACAACTGCCCTCCTGCTTTATCCTTAGGCAATAAGGTACTGGCCTTTCCGTCCCAAAGAGAAAAAAGCAGAATCTAATTAAATGAAGGGAGGGAGTTAATAGACGACAACTGTGTTCACCCTGGGGCTGAATACGAGTTCCCTGATTCAGTTTGAAAGTCAGATCTGCACTTTGGGATGGAAGCCGATTGAGGCCACATTCTTTTTCGTTTGTGCCCCAACCAAATCAGTTCCTAAAGCTGGATTGCCAGCTTTACAGCTGATTTGCACTGAAACACCAAACAAAAGCCAAAATACAGTTCTTTAAAAACATGGTCAGTCTTGCCCATTTATTCTTCCTCCCAGTACCTTCACAGTCCAGCTGCTCCTCAGGTGCAGAAGGGCAACATTTTCTCAGTTTGAACAATCTAATAAAGGAGTGGGGAAAGAAGGATCATTAGGTTGCTACAGTTGTTGGAATTACAATTCAGAATCCTGGCACATCTACTGTAAGTGAAAAGATGCATGTTTGTATGGAAGGAGTGTGCTCAGTTGCGGTACTCCTTGGTTTAAAATGGGACAGAAGATTATTAGCCCTATTCTTGTTTCCTGTATTAAACCTGTTAATTTCTTTTCTTTTTATCCCGATGGGGTAATTTAACAAAAATGGAAGCAAAAGCTCCAGAAGGCCCCTAGCCTTAGAAGAGGAAAGGAGAAGACATGATCCTAACTGTTGTTTCTACTTTGAAGAAGCACCTGTTTGGGTCTAAACCTTGGTTTGGTGTGACATGCAACTTGGCTCCAATGTTGTGAAAAAATTACATATAGGTAGTTAAAAAAATTAACAAATTGAAGGAAAATCTATAAAGCTTTTGCACAGTAGCAGTAATACAGAATGAACAGAGAGACTGGACTGAAGCACATAAGCTAATCACACTCTCATTTTCTCTTACAGCGAGGAGGTCCTGAATAACACAGAAGAATACACTGTTAGCTGCTCTTGAGCAACAAACTCTTGTGTTTACTGTATTGGTCTTCCTCACTCTGAGTCTTGTAAACACTTTTATTGAAGGCATTTCATGAGGTGCTTTCGGAAGTGGCGGTGCCGCACATCAGAAGATAATTCTGTTTTGAATGATCATTTGGCTCCACTATATAACTCCACTATTAAAATTATTTTTTTTCATTTTACTCAGAATTATTTAATTGTATGTTTTGTAGTTGATGTACTAAGGAAGAATTTCGATTTTTGCAAGCAAAATGCCAACCACATGTACCCAGAAGAATATCTTGATTTTTCCACTTGTGTAACCTCTTCAGCAATAACAAAAGCAAAATCTGTTCTTTCTATCAAGAAGCAATACATATTGTTCCAGAGAAGTTTCTGGAAAAACATTAAAGAATGAAAACCATAGGCTTGAGGGAAATCACAGTGGTTTTTTTCCTTATTGCCTGTTAACTGTTTGCCACTGCTTTCCAGATGGAGGGAAACTATGGAGTGTGATGGCCACTCTCCAGTGCAAGTAGGGTCACGTGTGATTACTTAATTATGCTGAGCCAGGGCCAATTGCCAATATTGTAAGTTTATCTGTTTACTCTTTTGGACAATAGGTTTTACTTCTAAACTGTTCCCCTGTACCCATTCAGATTGGAACAGTTGTCAAGTGAAGAATGGTCCGTATTATGCAGGAATTCATTTTAATCAGTCAAGATCAATTAGAGACAAAGGACAAGGGCTAAGAGCCAGTGGCATACTTCTACTTGACCCTGCTCCTTCTGTCACAGTTGTCCTGCTGTGGTAATTGGTATTTCTCTCCCTCTCCCATACACTCTAGGAAGTGTTTGGCACCATCTGCAATAGGAGGGGAAAAGGAAAAATTGCCTTGATTGTATTGGTGTTAAGTACCTGATTGCTGGATTATGGCTTTAAGTTTTGTTCAATATTCTTTTTAAATACTCAAAATAATAGGAAACTCAATTGTTTGTTATATTTCATTGTTAATTAAGTTTATGATTGGTGATACCCTTACCACTCAGATTAACTGTAATTTAGCAACTGTAACATCCAAAGGATGCTCTTCTGTAATATAAGAATGAGCTGACCATCTGTAAAAAAAAAAGTGAGTTTTGATAGGTTCTCTTATTTGGGTGAACAAGAAAGCAGTTAAGTTGGAGGAGCTTCTCGTATGCATTGAACTTGTATGCATGTACACATTGCTGGATTAGAGTGGTACACTGGGGCTTGTATAATCTATATAATTCCTTTTTATAGATTAATACTGGGGCAACTATAAACAAACAGTGGCAGTGATTTATGAGTCCTGACTTCATTTTTGACAAACAAGCATCACTGTAGGAGTTGTCAGCTGGAATCCTGTTAATGATTTATGTGTAAGTTAAATTGTTTAATTCACTGTGGTACATTGCCACTAACAATGTGTGCACCTGATTGCCCAATAGGCATAAACCTAGTACAGTAATACAAGCAGTGCTTTCTTGGTTAGTGGCACTTTTAACATATATATGTGTAAAGTCATTAACAAGAATCTGGCCAATCAAAATTCAAAGTTATAATTCTTGCAATTTTTTCACCAAATGGAAAAAAGTGTGTGCGATTAGGTATACACCCTTAGTATCAGGGTGTAAGATTATCAGCCAAATTGCTCTCTTATCCTGCAAATGCCAGGTGGCAGTACTCAAATGTTGCCAAGTCAGTCCCAAAGTAAATATTGTCAGTGACTGCTCATTATCCACAGATGGTACAGTAGTGGTTGATCCATCCCCAAGAGCCACATACACTGGTGGAAAAATAAAATGACCAGGAGAAAAGCATCCTTTAAGAATCCTTACCATTTGTGGCTCAGTCATAAGATTGCTGGGATGGGAGGAGGGGAGAGAAAAACAAAATAGTCCAAAAATATTTTGTCATAGTTTGTACAAAACAACTTGTATAATCTCTTCAGCAAAGAGTAAATTTCCATTTTCTTTTGAAACTTACTCTTCCAAGAGGACAAATGCAGGAGAGATGTTCATTAATGACTGCATGCTGCCAAGTCAGTTTTGACTTATGCCAACCCTTTCTGGGGTAGAGAATACACACAACTGGGTTATCATTCCCTTTCTCTGGGGGTATCTTGGGATTCTGTGGCTTGCCCAAAGCCACATAGGCTGGCCCTTCTCCTAGGGAGGCACAGTAGAAACTGAACTCCCAACCTCTGGCTCAACTATTAGATATATAAACCACTGAGCTATCCAGCCAGCTGATACCTTTATTAGACCAGTAAAAAAAATTAAACAGTGGTTGGTCAACTCCACTTCCTCCGACCATGCACCTGTATTGCAGAAAAACTTTAAATGAGAGTCTCCAAAAATGTAGGGACTGCCAGATATGCTTCTTAAGGCGAGTTCAGACACTAGTTGCAAATGGCCTTTGGGGGTTTGTGGTTTCAAACTTCACCTCTGGTAGCACTTGACTGGAATTTTCCACCCAAATTTTGGGGACTCAGTCTTTCTGCAGTATCAGTGCATGTTCTGAGAAAACTGACTTGACCCATGAAAGTTAAGTTTTTTAAAAATGATCTAATAAAGATATTGAGCTGGCTGGATAGCTCAGTCAGTTAGGTGTCTGGCTGTAGAGCCAGAGTAAGAGAATCTGATTCCCCACTATGCATCCCAGAAAAGCCAGCCTGTCTAGTCTTGGGCAAGCTGCACAGTCCCAGAAGTCCCCCTAGGAGAATGATAAACCACTTTTGAGTGTTCTCTACCTAGAAAACACTGAAGGGGGCCCCCCATAAGTCAGAATTGACTTGATATGGTACAAGATTAATAAAGGCATCACCTCTTGCATTTGCATTGGGTAAGGACCATAATGGATCAGTGAAGCTGAACAGTAGAGAAAATGTTTGACTGGCAGAAAGACAAACAAGTGATTCTACAGCAAATTTAAGCCTGAATGATTTCTGGAGGCAAAAATGATGAAACTGAGGCTGTCCTATTTGGGGCACATTATGAGAAGGCAGGATTGTCTGGGAAAAAAACTTGGGAAAGGTTGAAGGCAGCAGGAAAAGAGGATGACCAAACACAAGGCGCATTGACTTTCTAAAGGAAACCACAGGCTTGAGTTTGCAAGAGCTGAGCAGGGCAATTGAGGGCAGGATATTTTGGAGATACCTCATTCATGGGGTTGCCATAAATTGGGGACAACTTGATAGCACATAACAATAGCAAAGGATTACACTGCTTTCTTTGTGCCCCCCCCCAAGAGTACAATACACGTAGTACCGGGAAGCAGGCGTAAGAGGAACAGAAACACAGTACTATGGAAGATTTTAGCCAAGTACTAGTCCTCTACTTCTCCCCCTCCCCGCCCCCTAGTACTGAAAGGGGACTCCGTTTACTGGCACTGCACTGTGAGGAGGAAGAGAAACTGCTACAGAGCATCCAGTGTCTTCCAAGGAAGACAACATTTCTTAGTGATAAACAGCTCTGCGCATGAGTAACTGCTGAAATGCGAGAAATTGTAACCAACAAGCATATATTTCTCAAGGACCAATGAATACTGCTGCATACTTTTGTTCTTCCTTTAAGAGCTGTATAAAAACTTGAACCCTGTTGATCTTCCGGTCCTCACCCTACCAGGCATCGGACACTTGTTTTTATCTGAATACACCTGTTGCCCTTTCCTCCAAGAAACTGTCCGCTTAATATTGCTTGAGACTTGTCTTAATAGAAGATAGGGAGCTGTGGGAGTAACAGCACTTTAGGCCTATAACTGCAAAACAATCAGCTCTCATTTACTTCCAAGTGCCAGCCTCCTCCCCCCCCCTTCGACTTTTTTCCTGCTGCCTGGCCTGACTGAGGCACTGTACTCTCGCCTTTTTGGAGATGGTGGTGACCTGGAAGTAGCTTGAAGGAAGGTCATATTTACATGAAAACTGAATTATTTGCATAATTTAAAGGTTTGTTAAAAATCACAATTTACACATACCGTTTTTCTACGAAAATAAGACAGGGTCTTAAATTAAATTACACACACACACACAAAATCTACATTTACTCAAATACAGTCATGTCATCTGGTTGCTGCACGATGGTGGAGGGTGGGTTTTCACTTATCGGGCTGATTTTTGGGATAGGGCCTATGTTACGAGCATCCTGAAAAATCATACTAGGGCTTACTGTATTTTCAGGTTAGGTCTTATTTTAGGGGAAACAAGGTATTTGAAGACTGAATTTCTATCTCAGGGTGCTGCGTGCTGTGTAATAAAAAATCAGGCTAGTTTCCTCCATGGGTAGGTTGGGGAAAAGAATACGAAGGCTTAACGTTTAATATTTAAGCAGAGTAACCCGTTAGTTTCATCATAAACCTAAGGCGGCGCTTGTTTAAGACTTAAACAAATCAGGGGTTTCTCTCCGTATGCCTATGATGAAGCTAACAGGTTCCTCTAACATGTCTTATCTCTAGGTCAGAAGCCGTTGCTAGGGCCCGGAGAAGCCTTAGCCCCGAGTCTCATTGGCTGGTGTCGAGCGCACGCGCTGGAGTCAACGGCAAGACCACTCTGGGGACGGGAATGGGCGGAGTTTCTCGTGAGGGAAGCCGGAAGTGGCGGAATGGACGGCGGCTGGAGAGGTTGGGGGTCTCTTTTGTGAGTAAGCCCAGACGGCCTTTCCGCGTCCCTCTCTCGCCTCCCCGGGGCTTTCCTCAAGATGGATGCGCGAGCGCGTGCCAAGCGTTACGAGAAGCTGGACTTCCTGGGTGAGGGGCAGGTAAGCGACGTGCGGCTGAGGACAAGCAAGCCCCGGCGGCGGCGGCGGCGGCGGCGCCTTCCTTGTTCGGACGGGGCTCACATTCTTTTGGGGTGGTGGTGGGGGAATCGAAGGGGGAGCGGGGACGTTTTAGGACAAGCCAGCCCACCGCTTCTGGTTTCTTGTATTCTGTCTCAATCATAGCTTGGGTCGTCTTTATATTTATATCCGCTCTGTTTTTCCCAGAGGAGGGAGTCTCTGCCCTCCCGTTTTCTGGCCTCAGGCCAACCTTGTGAGGTGGATTAGTTGAAGGCGGCGGCTGGCCCAGGGTCACCTACTAAGCTTCTTGGCTACGTATGTGGGGATTCAAACCGTACCAGGATGCTGGCCATTGCACCTTCTTGTCTTAATGGCACCATCAACACAGGTTGGAGGGTGGGTGGTAACTGGTTTGCCTTGCCTGAGGCCACTCAGGTGCCAGGGCACAGAGCCCCATCAGTCTAGGTGACCTCAGATAGCCCCTCTCCCAGGAACCACAGTAGGGATTCATACTCTTGGCCCCAAGTGCTCTATGCCAATGAGCTCTACCAGTTTCTATAACCCAGTGCCCAATTAATTTGGAAATACAGTACCTGTAATATATGATGCCTGACTTACAAAGCTTTTAAATCTTTCCAAATAATAAATAGGTGCTTTACAAATAATAAATACACTTTATCCCCAAATACATGTGCCATATGTAATCTCCGAAAGACAAATAATAGACTGTCTTGTTAAGATTACATATGGCAATATTTGGGGATGTTCCCTTTTTCTTCTCTTTCATGACGGCTTAAGATGACTTGAAAATCAACAGCAAAAGGACATATTAAAACTCTATCCATGTAGAATATGCCACAAATATTCTGTGTAGCAGTCTCTTGCTCTGATCAGAGATGTTTACAGTAAGGCCCATTTTCTCTTCCGGATCTGGACAGTGAAATAATTATTTATTGGTTAAACTCAGCTATTGGAGCTTATTATGGAACAAAAACATTCCAGAGATAACTGATAGCTGCTGGTCACAAACAGTGCTTTCTTTGAATTATATCTAGTGAAGTATTAGCCATCTTGGTTTAGACAGAATACTAGAATCTGCTGGTTAAGATGTGTTTCCAGTTGGAATTTGACAGTTGGTGTTTAGAGAAATAGTTCACAGTTGCAAAGCAACCAGTAAGGGAGCAACAGGTCTGAGTACATTTAATAAGTTGAATGCAAAGATAGCTGATTGTAAGAGGAGAAGACTCCAAGTAGTGTCTCTGGAAGAGATGGTGCTACAGAAAGGTGTCTTGAGTTCTTACCCCGTGCTGAATAAGATATACTCATAGTATCTATTTACTTATTGGCTGAAATCCCATTGTTTTTTTAAAAGTGTAGAAGACAAAGAGTATAAGGTTCAATCACTTACAGCTGGTGAATAATCTTAGTGTTAAAAACTGTGCCAAGCCAGCAGATGTGGGTGCCCTGGTAATTGCTGGTTAGAAGTGAGTGCGTATTACACCATTGCTTTCCAAATTTGTAAAAAAGTAACAGCCATGGTAAAAAGCCCTCTGAATCTTTTCTTTTTGTAAAAAAAGTAAAATAATAGTGCAGCCACTGGTTCTTCTTTCTCATCAGCTACACAAAATATCGCTTATAAATGGAAAAGGTGCAGTGTGACAGTGGATTATTATTTGTAACATTTACAAATGTATGTATGACAAGGTTTATGGTAGTGTTTGATAAAGTTTTATCTTAGCAGTTATGGTTTACAAAACTGCTATATAATTAGAAAAATAGCCTTTAATATGCAATTGTTTTCTTTTTCAGTTTGCTACTGTTTACAAAGCAAGAGACAAAAATACAAATCAAATTGTTGCTATTAAAAAGGTGAGTATACTCTATTTCCCTGAAAATAAGACAGGGTCTTACAGTGGTATCTCAACTTAAGAACTTAATCTGTATTGGGACTGCATTCTTAAATTGAAACGTTCTTAAGTCGAAGCACCATTTCCCATAGGAATGCATTGAAAACCATTTAATCCGTACAGTATCTGCTGTTTTTCGTTCTTAAGTTGAGGCGCTGTTCTTAAGTCGAAGCATTAGTTCTCATAGGAACTAATGCAAAGCCAGTTAATCCATATCTACCACTAGGGAGTGAATTTTTGTTTATTTTTTTCTTCTTTCGACCTAAGGTGAACTTAGGTCAAAAAAAAAGGGGGCAGGAAAGGGGATTTTTTTGTTCTTAAGTCGAGGCTCCGTTCTCAAATCGAAGCAACTTTCTGCGAACGGAGCCGTTCTTAACTTGAATCGTTCTTACGTAGGGACATTCTCAAGTCGAGGTACCACTGTATATTAATTTTTGCTCCAAAAAACACATTGCGGCTTATTTTCAGGGGATTTTTTTTTAATGTAAAACAATCTACATTTATTCAAATACAGTCATGTCATCTTCTTCTGGTTGCTGCACAATGGTGGAGGGCGGGCTTTCACTTAACTGGAGCTTATTTTTGGTGTATAGCTTATATTACAAGCATCCTGAAAAATCATATTAGGGCTTATTTTCAGGTGAGGTCTTATTTTAAGGGAAACAGGGTATTATCTTCACTCTGTTGTGACATTATACCAACCATAGTTTGGAAGCCTAGTTGTGATTTAACTGAATGATTGGGCAAACTACTGTCTACAACTACTTGTTTCTTTTTCTCATCTCTTCAATGTTCTTATCACAAAGTATGCTAGTGAATCATACTGTGATTTTCAAGCACTAGTTAGCATGATCCATGGCTTGCAGTATCAATTTTAAATCAGTTTGTGATTCTGGTGTATTAATTTAGACATCCTGCTAAGCATTGTTAAGCTTTCCTAATCATAGCCTGTTGTTATGTCTGAAATGAGCAAATTGTTATCTAATCATGTTAAATAGTAGTTTTGGTCATTTTGAAGGAAACCCGAGAGTACTGATTTTCAAACTATAGTTTTTACTGTATGCCTCTACTGATCCTACCAGGCAGTTTTTAGATAAAATAGTGTTAGGTGTAGACCCTACTCTTGGTTCCAGTGAGGCAATGCTGACATGAGCAAGCCTAGCCAGTACTCCATGTGAATTGTGCTAGCTAGCATACTTAGAAGTGCCCTAAACTCTTCTGCAGTGTTCTAGAGTTCTGCGGCAGAAGACAGTGGGTTCCTCTGCCAGTAGTGTGGATGGGCAAGAAGGTCAATCAAAGCAGAAAGTTTGAAAAGTCTGCAGAAGAGCTGTCTTCCACTTTGTATTGTGCCCTCTTCACAAGGAGAAATACAATGTTGCTAGCAAATCCCACACTTACGGCACCAAGAATGTCCACTTGCACTTGTTTCCCTATTTGCTAGCAAATTTAAAATAATACTGAATATCTGAAATTACTTTTCAAAACATACAAAGTTTTTAACACTGTGCAAATGAAGCAAGAACCTCTTGAGTTCAGCCATTTTCAGAGGGATGCTAACTCCCAGTAAGAAGTCAAGACCCTATATAGCACCCTGATCTACAGGTTCAGTTCATGGAACATGTGAAGTATTTTGGTCCACAAGCCCAAAGTATAAAGTTGGCTTACAAATCCTGATTTATTTGGTTGTTTTTAACCATAATTCTAGATTCAGACATAATTTGATCCCTGTTTGATTTACTAGCCCATTTGCACAAGACAAAGATGAAGCACATTCTCTGCATATATTGGCATGTTGTTTGTTCACATCATGATTAATTCTCATGTGCCAGAATTGAGATATATCAGTCCCACAGAGTATGTTTTATTTCAGTATCAATGCATAATTGATATGCAGTGTGGGCATTCTTCATCATTGTCCTCTGCACAATATCAATCACTTGTCATGTACAGTTCTCCCCCCCCCCCCCCATCAACAAAAACAACCAAAATATCCAACGCTCCCCCCCCCCCCCCCAAACAAACAGGCAGTCAGGGCAAAAGAGTCCAAATGAATTGTTGTGCTCAGCCTATGGGATACTGTTTTTTGTCCAAAGTAGTGCAATGTATTGGAAAAAAGTCATTGTTTTCTTTTTGGGGGGGTGGTGGAATTTAAGTATAACAAAGCTGAAGTGATAGGTCCTGTTGTCAGTAGATTCCTCTTATTTGGAAAAAATCAGAAATTCTTTGCAGCAAAGCCTATTGAAGGGTTTGTAACAGAGTAATCTTAGGTAAATCTTATTAACTTACAAAGATATATTAACTATTCAGATTTTTATGGAAGTACTGTATTATAGATTCTGACTTGCATTTCATAATGAACAATGTTATTTTAATAATTAAAAATAATATTCAATTTTAGATCAAACTTGGACATAGATCAGAAGCTACAGATGGTAAGTATCAGAAGTTGACAATATGAGCACAGCGTGTTGCATATACTTAAATAGTGTTACTGCTGTTATAAAAGAGTTAATGTTGTGAGAACCAGTTTATCTTTTAAGTTTTGAATGAAAGAAGCAACAAATGAAATGGGTATTTCTGTTTCCTTGAAATACGTCTGTGGCATAATATCCTCATCTCATTTTAAGGATGACTTAGAATAAAAATACAGCAGTCAGTTATGAAACAATGCAGAGTTAAAAATAAATAAACATCATTAATAAATACTAGTAGTAGAAGTAGTAAAAGACAACAGTGCTTCATCAAGAATGTGACAGAAACAGGTAGCTGATTAAAAGCTAGCTGAAATGAAGTGCATATTGTCAGTCAGAAGAATTGAAGGAGCATGACAGACTTCCATGAGGAGGGCAATCCCACACTTACGGCACCAAGAATGTCCACTTGCACTTCCCCTATTTGTTCATGTGTACAAAGCAGAGAAAACGGCTTTCAGGTATGATCTCCAAAGGTTTGGCAGCTTTGAGAATAGGTCGTTTCTGGAGTAGGAACTGCCACCCAGATGTTTGTGGGTTTAAAAGCAGTTAGCACCTTATGAAATCAGGCTCGGAAACAAGTAAGCAGCCAGTGAACATGAAGATTGAAAACGGTTGGCTTATGTGTATTTAACTCAATCAGATTATAGCCTAAAATTGTAACATGTTTGGGACCTTTTCCAGATTGTGACAGTGTTATATAAGTGAGAATAGGAATATGTTATGAAGTTTACAAGAAGAGTGGCACTGCAACACATTGGGTTTTATCTAAAATAAGTTCTTGTTTTTCTACTTGAAGCAGCAAATGTGTGAATTAGCCTCTTTTTTCACCTTCAACCAATGTTTTTAGGGAAAAGTGCATCACAAAATATCTGCAGACACACATTAACACTGTATGAGGAAAGGCAAACCTTGTCTTCCTTTTGGGATGGAGGATATGGAAAGTACATTGGCCTGGAACATTGATTTCTTAGACTATTTGAAGCTATGCCCTGAGGCTTTGATCTAATTCTAAATATTCAAAAATTTTGAGAAAAGGGAGGTCTCAAATACTAGGTTGTTGCCCATGAAAGCCTGTGCCTTGCTCAATTTCTTAGTCTTCAAGAAATTTATAAAAACTTTTTAAATATAGCACCAAACCATTGATCCATTTTAATATGATGTAGTTGGACTTACAATGTTTTCCATAGTCAGAAGCAAAAGTCTTTCTCAGCTTGCCTTCTCTTTTTACTGGAGAGGTCAGATGTTGAATGACATTTTTAGAATGCTCTACAATTGAGTTATAGCTGTTAATTGGAAGAATTTTAAAGCTACAAAGACCTACTGAATTACAGATTGAAGCTCTTGCCTGATGCACTTATGTATTTAGCATAAAACATTGAGATGAAGATACAGCCCCCTCTCACTTTCAGCTAGGGTAGCTTTGAGACAGCAGAAATGGCATACCTTAATTTAATAATATTTCTTTCTCTTTTTTTCCAATCAGGTATAAATAGAACAGCCCTTAGAGAAATAAAGCTGCTACAGGAGCTTAGCCATCCAAATATTATTGGGGTAAGTATGAACTGTTGCTCTTTTCTGTTTTGCTCTACATTTATAGATGTATTTAGTTAAAAATAGCTGCTTTTATAAGATTCACAAACTGTCCTTTTAGAAAACTCAGAACTCATTGCTGTTAAGCTTACAGGTGTAGAAAATGGTTAAAAACACTTCTATATTAGGCCCACTTCATTTGTTATTAGAATATTAAGCAGCTACTTATCTATGGCTTCTCTCCATGCTCTCAAGCATGATATGGAAAGGGCAAGTGGTGTTCTTCTTATGTGAAGATTGGTGATATTTGTCTGGGAAGGAACCACTTAATTTACTGTGCTTCTGACGCACATATTGCCAGAGTGATGTGTGGAAAGGGGATAGAGAAACCACTGCCATTCTGTTGCTGTAATGTATTAATCAGGTGTAGTTTTGACTTAGCTGTTGATTTCTTGAGTGGAAACAATCAGTTCAGACATCACATCATGCTACAGTTTGCACTGATTTAAAAAACTAAATAAGGGATTAAGATAATGTTTTACAATTGGCTGTGCTTAATTTAATACTTGCTTTACACTCCTGTTTCTTTGGTGTAGATGCTTCCAAAGAGGGGGGTGAAGTGCTGTAATTATGCTTTATTTATTTAGGCATTGTGACAACACATAGAATAAACATCCTTAATGTTGGTTAATGTCTGAACTGAGCCACAGTACTGGAACAGAAGGACATCAGCTTTTTCAAATGTTATGCAGCAGTTTACATATTAATTTAAAAAAAACAAACAGCTTCCATCATCATTAGGAGACTGTCAGGCTGCAAGAAGCAAAGGTTGCTGCCTCCATTTTTTAAAAAAAAACAATCCACCCAGTATTCCTCAACCCATCATTCAGTCACCTGCCTGGGCTTGCTGTTGCCGCTATTTAAATCTTCCGAGGGCCAGGTGATAGAACAGAAAGCCTACTGTGGGACTTTCCCCTCAAAACCACTTCAACCCTAGTGGTTTTGTTTTCTTTTCTTTTTGTGATTAAAGCACTAGGACTCTGAACGAATTGGTGCATGTTTTTCTTTCAGCTTCTTGATGCTTTTGGACATAAATCCAACATCAGCCTAGTGTTTGATTTCATGGAAACAGATCTAGAGGTAAGATTGCTTAAACTAATAACTGTCCACTGAGTGAACACCTTCCTAATCCTATAAGAGGTGAAAGTACCCTGTTTCCCTGAAAATAACACCTAACCTGAAAATAAGCCCTACCCCAAAATAAGAACCAGTTAAATGAAACACTGCCCTCCACCATAGTGCAGCAAACAGAAGATGACGTGATTGTATCTGAATAAATGTAGATGGTTGTACATGAAAAAAAATAAAACATCCCTTGAAAATAAGCCTAATGTGTGTTTTGGAGCAAAAATTAATTTAAGACCCTGTCTTATTTTCGGGAAAACATGGTAGCTAACAGTCGACATTTCTTTCTGTATTGAGGCCAGTCATCATAGGGAAATACCAGTTGGGTCATGTAAGGGACAGGGAGAAGACAGAACAGGGTGTGCTTCTTGAAACATCTGGGGCTACTAGCTTCCACTGAAAGAATTGGAATAGTTCTACTTCTCATGAGGCCATCACTTAAAATTCCTTGTTTTCTCCGAAGACTTTGAAATTCCCTGTCTTCTACTATTACTCTTTCTTTCTACCTCCTCCCCCTCTCTGTGTGTGTTCTCTGTATCCAGTGAATTTGTCCTTACTGAAAATGGTGCATTTTGAATCATAGTCATTTCTTTTAACACCTTAAGCTTTTATAATTCATAAAATGCATTTGCATTTTTGTACAGGTTATAATAAAGGACAATAGTCTTGTGTTGACACCTTCTCATATCAAGGCATACATGCTTATGACACTTCAGGGCTTAGAATATTTACATGACCACTGGATTCTTCATCGGGTAAGTGGTGTGGGCATAAAACCATCAGCCTTTGAACAGGTAAGGAATTGGTCCAGTTAAAGTTTTGGGGGTGAAAAAGATGATGACAGTTCCTGTAAGCACCATAACCTTAATCTTAGCAAAAACTTCCAAGGTATTTTATAGTGGCTATAAAGGTTTTAAAACCTGAAATAACAAACTGATAGGAAAAAATACAGATGTGGGATGTATGTGAAATAGTTACCGTATTTTTCGCTCCATAAGACGCACCTTTCCATAAGACGCACCAATTTTTTAGGAGAAGAAAACAGGAAAATATAATCTGTTTTCTTCGCTCCATAAGATGCACAGACTTTCCACCCCCCTGTTTTGTGGGTCAGTGGGGTCTCGACTTACGAACGACTCTACTTGCGAACAATCTTGTCCATTTCTGTAAATACTTTGTAACTGAACATTTTGTCATTCTAGTAAACAGATAGGGAGCCTCAAACCCATATGCCAAATTCGGACTTCCCCATCTGGGCTGTAGGGTCTCCTACAAAGCTCTACCCTGTAATGGAAGGGAGAGAAACAAGAAAGAGACAAAGAGACTTGATAATTCTTTCATGAGCTGGTGGTATTTGTTTCCTATGCTCTGCTTTTGCCTCATGTGAAAAGGCAAAGCCTTCATGGAGTGAAGTCATTTATCCAGCTTAAGAAGCAGTTGTAGGGAGGACTTTTCCAGCCTATGCCTCTCTCCTCCTTGGGGAGCAAGGCCTCATTCTCTACCCTGTTCTAGTTAGCCTGTGATCATAGCAAAAGTAGTATCTTTCTAAAGGATGAATCCAGTGCTTCCCACTTCTGCTTGTGTATGCAGACATATTAATTGGCATTGTGTTGGCCTGTTCATGAGTGCAAGTAGTCTGCACACAATCTTAAATACGTAGTAAGGTGAGTGTTGCTGACTGTAATGGTAGAGAAATCCCTTGTGATCCCCATATATGCCATCCACAACTTGCTGATCAACTGTTTAGTATTATAGTACACTATGAAGCTCATCCTACCCTTGTGCTTGCTGGTGGAGTAAATCATAATGCTTTGGTCCTTGAATTTCATCTTACTTGAAAGATATATGAAGGACACAGTGGTGGAAATCCTGCTGCTTAGTAGAGGAAGTCACAACAAGAATAAGCCCAGTGAATCAATGGAACCTATGGCAGAGCTGACTCAATAGGCCTATTCTAGTTACAAATTACTATGCTATGGGACAAGATTTCAGCCAGTTTAATGTAAATAGGCCATTGATGTTTCTCTGCGACACTGGCACTCTTCTACAGGTTGCTTTCAGTGGAGCAGACTTCTAATTAAGGGTACTTTTTGATCATGTAGCACATTTTCGTTTTTTAAAAGAGAAATACTCATTCACAATAATGGCATATTGTATCTTTTTCTGCTTAAGGATCTTAAGCCAAACAACTTGTTGCTAGATGAAAATGGAGTTTTGAAACTGGCTGACTTTGGTTTGGCAAAGTCTTTTGGAAGTCCAAACAGAGTTTATACACATCAAGTAGTAACAAGGTAAGAAAGAGATCCTTCTAAGAGCAGAGATGGCCATAGTGGCTGAGGGGGGATGGGAACTGTAGTCTGACACATCTGGATAGCGCCAGGTTGGAAGAGATTGTAGTACAGTATCCTTAATTTGTACAATCACTAGTAATATATCAGGGTATCTGAATAAGATAGTCAGTGTGGTGTAACAGTTAAAATGTCAGTGTAAAGCTAAGTAGATTCTGTATGTAATCCTCAGCTGTGAAACTCATTAGATGAGTACCAATATGTTGTACTAACCTCACAGGGTTTTGGGGAGAGTACATGAGCAAAAACCTAAGCTGTTTGGAAAGTATAAAATAAATGCTCTGAATTCAGTCTAGCTACTAACAAAAAAAACCAGATTAAAATGGACAGCATACCATATTGAATCTTAAAGAATACATGTATGTTTATACTGAAGCCAATCAAGAAAGCTCCTTGGCCATTTAATAATCAATCAAGTTATTAAGGAATCTGAAACCTATGGACAACTCCTCTGATCGGGATTTGGAATGGATTTTATGAACTCTGTCCATACTGTTTTGCTTGAATTGCCTCTATTGTTGATAAATATGTGCCTTGTTGGAAATTTTGGGGAGTTTCAATTGCATCATACTAGGCTGAGGATATAAGTGAGAACAGATTATGCTGATATGAGTAATATTTTCCTAGCCACAATGATACTATGATACTATCATTGTGCTACATAATACTGCATAGCAGTGTAACTGTACTATTAGACTTGCCTTCCTGGTGGTTTGTGCACATTGATCTGCTTTTTATTTCTTACAGCAGTTATGCTGTGGCTTTTCTCCTTAAAAAGGATCTGCCCTTTTAAGGAGAAGAGTAAATATATTTTAAATAAATATTTAAACATAAATATATTTCCAAACTTGTATTACAGTAGTAGTGAGGGATGCCCTTGAATTAAGCATTTCACAAGGGGATAGGTCAGACAAAGAAGTCATTTATACCCTCTGTAAATCCTAATTGAGGCCAGCAGATATGTTGCACACTTGCAGAATGAAATCTGAGAAATGACATCTCCTTTCCAATTAAAACATTATGTAGCAGGCCAATGCCAATCATGCAGTCATTTTGGAAAGGAGGTATTCTAGTTTTGTGGATGCACTTCTCACTCCCTGCCCACACCCCATATGGTAATACTCAGATGGAACCTGTTCACAATCCCCAGTGTGTCAGAGGCCTGGGCTTCAAATAGAGAATACTGAATCTTCTCTCAGCAAGCATGTAGCTGACTTATGGGAGGCTATGGTTGTTTTTTCTCATCTCCCACTCATGCTTTTTAGAACAGGAAGGGATTTAGGGACATATTGATGATTTATGTTACAGCTAGTCACTACTTAACACCTGCAAAAAAAAATTTGGTGACAATGTGTCAGTTCAAATCCCCTAAATATATTATTTGATAATTACTGATTCATTCAGATGACAAGTGAGATTCTTCAGTAAATATCATTCTTGAAGATTTGGTGTTGAAGGAAGAAATGTTATTTAACTTCTTAAAACGCTCCAAAACCATATTTTCATCAAATCTTTGTTTCATTCCTTTTATTACTGAAAACTAACATAGGTCACTGTTTTATTCACCCTTCTTTGCATGGAAGGATTACAGTGTTTTCCCAAAAATAAGACAGGGTCAGTGGGGTCTCGACTTACGAACGACTCTACTTGCGAACAATTCAACTTACGAACCCGCCCTATAGGGGAAATAAGGACTCAACATACGAACTTCCCTCGAGTTACGTACAGGGAAAAAATATTGCCCCGTCCCTCCCCTTAGAGGCTTCTGGAGGGGAAAAAAGCGTCCGAAACTTAAAAATAAATAAAAGAAAATCACTTACCAGGCCTTGGTAGCCCCCAAACAGCAGGAAAAAGAGCAGGAAAAAGCTAAAAACTGACACCCAGAAGGGAGCCTGGCAACCATTTTGTGATTTCCCCCCCCCTACACCCTCCTCTCCCCGCCTATCAGCTGATGGGCTGGCTCTGAAGAGGCTTGGGGAGGCTTGCTCAGCACCTAAAAAGCCTGCCTGTGTGTCTTTGTACTGAAAAAATCAGCACAACATGCTTTAAAACATGATTTAAAATTGGCTTTGTTGAAAAAAGATTTCTAAAGTGCCTTGCAAACTGTTCCCTGCCTTCTTCCTCCTTTCCTGAACCTAAGGGAAAAAAAAGAAAAAGATCTCCCCCTCTAGTGGCAGAAGGCGGAATAGCAGCTTCCCATTAGTTTCTATGGACAGAAAAGAGCTGATACAGATTAAATGGTTTTCAATGCATTCCTATGGGAAATGCAGATTCGACCTAAGAACTTTTCGACCTAAGAACCACCTTCCAATATGGATTAAGTTCGTAAGTCGAGACCCCACTGTATATTAATTTTTGCTCTAAAAAAACGCATTACGGCTTATTTTCAGGGAATGTTTTTTTTTTCATGTACAACAATCTACATTTATCCAAATACAGTCATGTTATTTACTGGTTGCTGCATAATGGTGGTTTCACTTAACTGGGTCTTATTTTAGGGGTAGGGCTTATATTACATGCATCCTGAAAAAATTATACTAGGGGTTATTTTCAATTTGGTCTCATATTTTGGGGGAAACGGTATGTTTTCGTCTGGGCAATGCTCCTAGAAGGGAAACAAGACAAGATGTAAAAATATAATAAAAATAAAAATAGGATGAGAAGTAGAACAGACGTTTTATTTAAGGCTTTATGTATATTTCATTTCTGGAGGTGGTAAATCAAGTGTGTTTCTGTTTTTTCAGGTGGTATCGAGCTCCTGAACTGCTCTTTGGTGCTAGAATGTATGGTGTGGGTGTTGATATGTGGGCAGTGGGCTGCATTTTGGCTGAATTGCTTCTAAGGGTAAGGGCCAGGGCAGAGCTGACTATGAAACCTGTTGGTCCTCTTGCGGGAATAGGCAGTCTTCTGGTATTTTACAAGCAATGCCTATTTGATATCAGCATCTTTATTAGAGATAGACACAAGTCACCAAAATGATGGTTCATGAACCGTGAATTTACAGCTTTTTCCTGAATGAGACAAGAATCAAGTTGTCAGTTCATTCAGGAATTTTTTTGACAGCCCATTTATAGTCCTTTTTTAAAAAAAGCACATTGCCACCCTCACAACCTGTCCCTCACCCCCTTCCCGGTGCCCCTATTGCCTTCCTATATTTGCTTGCTAGTGCCGCCTCCTCCTCTGCTGCCCCCATCATCATCTTGAAATGCAGCTGGCTCCAACAGGCCAACAGTCCTTGAGCATGTCCCCAACTTTTTTTAACAGCTGACTGAGTCCTCACTGGCTGCTTTAAAAAAATTGTTCGGCTTTTTTAAAAAATTGTTTTGCAGCCAGCCAGGTCTCAGCTGACTGATTAAAAAGTGTTGTTTTTAATTTTTGTTCTTCTGCATCCTGGCTGGCTGCTAAAAAAATTTTTACAAGAAAAATGTTTTTTTCTTACCAATCTGTCTGGACCCAGCCAGCTGCAAAACAAAACAGCTGGCCAGGTTATGGCCGGCAGAAAAAAAAAATTATCTGCTCTTTTTCTTTGCAGCTTGCTGGGACCTCGCAGTCTGTTAAGAAGAAAAGGTGGGGTTAACAGCAACAATAACAGCAGCAGCAACAAACAGCATTAATAATTTTTTAATTGTTTTGCAGCAGTCCAGGTCTTGGGGGAGTTTTTTTTTTAATCAGCCATCCAGGACCTGGCAGGTTCTAAGAAAAAAATAATAATAATCCCCCCCTTTTTTCTTAGCAGCCTACCAGGACCCAGCCAGCTGCAAAAAAGAAAAGAAAACTGTGGATAATAGCGAACACTCTATGTCTACATTATATATAATGGTTTTTTAAAAACTGTTTTCACATGAATTACCAGAACTGGCCACTAGAGGGGATGAGAGACGATTTGATGCATTCTTCGCTAACAAGTAAAGTGGTGCCTCAACTTATGAACTTAATCCGTATTGGAATGGTGTTCGTAAGTCGAAATGTTTGTAAGTCGAAGCACCATTTCCCATAGGAATGTATTGAAAACCAATTAATCCGTTCCGGCTGAAGAAAAAAAATCATCAAAAAAATAAATAAAAGCACAGCAAGTCCAGTCAGAAGGTGCTCCGTAAATAAAAACACAGCAAGTCCAGTCAGAAGGTGCTCCGTTGGTGAGATTTAATAATAAGAAAAAAAAACTCCATAAACAAAAAGTAAAGCCACCTCCGTTGCTGAGGTTTAAGAAAAAAAACTCCAAACATAAACAGCAAAGCCACCAACAACACAGCACAGAAACATATCCGCCCGAGCCAAAACCCACCCAGAACATTTTTTTAAAAGGAAAAAACAGCAGCTTACCTCCCTGCAGATACACACACACACTCAAGCCTCCGACAGCGACACTCTCTCTAACTGCCGAAAGTGAAAGATCTACAGTACAAAGCACCCTCGCCGCCTACAGTTAGAAATCTGAATTGCCTGCCTTTTTTCTGTTCGTAAGTGGAAGCTCTGTTCTCAAGTCAAAGCAAAATGTTGCAACCGGAGCTGTTCATAAGTCAAAATGTTTGTAAGCAGAGACGTTCATAAGTTGAGGCACCACTGTATTCATAGCATAGGCTCTGGCTCCATCCAATGGCCTGTTCTGCTAATATATGTGAAAATGGGGGGGGGGGGTTTCAGAAATATTTTTAATATTTTCAGACCATGGGTAAGTAAAACCATAGATACTGATTTCATGGATACAGGGTCCTACTATATTTAAATGTAAAGCTTTTGTTAGTCTTGAAAGCCATTGTATTTGTCTCACTGTAGGTTCCGTTTTTGCCAGGAGACTCAGATCTGGATCAGCTCACAAAGATATTTGAAACTCTAGGTACTCCAACAGAGGAGCAGTGGCCTGTAAGTTTCTTGATCAGATTTACAGTTAATGTTGATTTATAGATGAAGATCACTATGTACTTTTAGCAAATTATCCTGTAGCTCCTGTCTCTTATAATGTTTGTTCTCTCCCTGCCATCAACAGGGTATGACTAACCTTCCAGATTATGTGACTTTTAAAAGTTTCCCTGGAATGCCACTTCATCACATCTTCAGTGCTGCTGGTGACGATTTGCTGGAATTGCTGCAAGGCTTATTTACATTCAATCCTTCCACAAGGGTGACAGCTACTCAGGTATTTGATCCCCTTCCCACAAACTTAAAATGCACTCTTTTGTTTATTTGGCAAAAATTGGTTCTCTTGCCCTGGTAAAATAATTTTATGGAACTAAGTGTTGAAAGGAATGCATCTTCTTCTATGCCCATCTAACAAGTTTTCCAAAGCAACATCTCAGCAAAATGTTCCTCAGTAAAAATAGATTGATATTTATATAGTCATGTTGCTTTTTCTTTTCATCTGCATTTGATAACTGCTGTTTAAATTTCAGCATCACTTCAGGTGAAAAATAAGTGCCGAAGGTCTACTCCATGAAGAGCCAACCCCAGCTGGGTTGTTAGCTGAATTGCCATTGTCATGGCTCTTCCATTATCTGCCTGAAGAGATGGGAAGGGAAAAAGCATTCTAGCCAGCTGATGAGTGCCACCAGCCCCAGTGACCCAGCAATGAGTCAGCTATAGCCATTCTCAACTTTTCCTTCCTTCCATTCGCCCACCCACCACTGCCCTTTTAGGGGCTCTTTTCAGGCTCCAGGGCCTCCTGTCAAACAAGGATACAACGTGAACAGAAGAATAGAAAAATAGAGGGTTCATATGGCCCTCATTGAGAATAGCTGAGCTAATGCAAATGGGCAACAGAAGGGGAAGAGACAGGAATTGTAGCCTGTCTTGATAAGGGTGTGTCTCGTACTTGTCTTGATAGTGTGAAGATGATGCAGCATGCTGAACTTGCTCCTTGTTAAAAGATTTCACAGCCAGAGACTGTTTTCCCTTGGCTCATACATACAGAAAAGAAGAATTGATGCTCAACCATCATCTTCCACTTGTCTGGGGGCTCAAAACAGCAGTTGGCCACGGTGCCCGTGGCAAAATGCTGAGCTTTTGACACTGTGCTATCATTCAGATCTGAGTGGCTGAATCCATACAGGCATCTTGGAAGTAAATGTTGTTGAATTCAACAGCACCTAATCCCAAAAACATAAGACTGCAACTGGAAAGCCTTATGGTCTGAGTCTTTAATTCTTATTTAAAATGAAGCCACTGAAACAAAGGGCAGTTTCAGCCCTTTTCCCCAAAGCTTCTTTGGCTGTTCTTATGGTCTTGATTTTTCCTTGTTGTTCGTTACAATTTTTTCTTGGCATGGATTGAAGGTGCAGAAACTTGACTCAGCACTATGGACCCTATCAGAAATGGAGCGATAGCTGGGCGGTTGCTACACCCATGCCTACTAATTGTGGTTACTTAACATAACTTAGCTGTAAGTTTTCTGAGCACAGTAAAGCAGAATGTGATTAATACTTTATTTATCCTACACAAGGGCCTTGCAGGAAAATGTTGTAGTGTAAAATGTCATTCTGTGTTCCAGATAATGATTCATGGCTGTCTAGATATTCCATTCTCCCCACTCCACTGAACTGATATTCCTTCCTGAATTGGTTCATTTCTTACTGGTTTTGAGGGAGTATTTTTGTCCCCTTAGCTAATTTTTTTCCTTCTGTAAGCCTGACCTGTATATACACTGCACTTAAAAAACTCTTTGCCTTGCCACTGAGATTCTGTGCCAAAAAAAGCTACATTATGCACATTACTATCTGGCTTAATTCTGCAGTTGCAGTTTTGCATAACTGATATGTTAATCATGACAGAACAAGAATTAATTTTCATCCTTAGTCACTGAAGGCTTTGTTCCGTCTATTTTCTGACTGTCTCGAGATCGTGACAGGTTTTGCCTATCTGCTTTCGGGCATATCTTTTTAGCCACAACAACTAGAAGCTTGCTGCTGCTTTTTAAAATTAGAATTGAGAGCCTGAGGATCCCCTCCTACTTATGCTTTCCTTTAGATGAACAGCAAATAAACAACTTTCACTATGTCTTTCTTATTAAAAGATCATAATTCAAAATAGATCTCTCATGTATAAAACTGTAACTGTACCTGATCAACATCATCTAATTAGTCAGAAGGCTCAATTTAGCAAGCATATTTGTTGAAATCTAGAAGCATAAATTAAACCACATAAATCTAATAGCATCATTAGCTGTAAAAGTTTTTCAGGAATCAGAAATTCCTGATTCCCTGCTTCCAATGGTTCCAAGGCTCCTTGTCAACCTTTTTCATGATGAAGATGGGAGGAAATCTTTAATTTCCAAAAATCACTCCTGGCAATAAAATCATCATGCCAGGGGCAAATTTTTGGAAATTAAAAGATTTCTGCAATGGATTTCCCATGACAGAAATGAGCTTCAGGGGCAGATTGGAATTTTTTAATTTCCAAGAAACTGCTGTGGCTGATAACATCATCAACCTTAAGTGGTGTAAACTACATTGCTGGATTTTAGCCACTAAGTATCTGTCTGACAGAGGCAAGGCTAAAGCTTCAGGGCTATTTCTCATTCTGTTCTTTTTTTCAGGCACTGAAACATGAATATTTTAGTAATCGGCCAGCACCGACACCCGGAAGCCAATTACCAAGACCCAACTGCCCTGTAGAAGCCTTGAAAGAGCAGCAAAATCTAGTTCCAAATTTGAAGAGGAAAAGAATAGATGGGAAAGATCAAGGTGAGAACATTATTTCAGTTATCTATAAGGTGTTAAGTGTAACGTTTCAACAGTATGACCATTTGTCAAGATATCATGCAACATGTAATTCTGTTCTTATTCTAGCTTATTAATGTGCATCCCTAACTGACTTGTCAGACCTTTTAAACCAAAGGGTGGATTCTTCTGTAGTCGTGCCTTCACTTGCCATGAAGTCATTGGGTCTCAAGGCATGCAAGTTGTTCTGGCCTTTTCTTGAAGGATTTACATAGAAAGGAGAGAGGGGAGAAGGGAACACAACACAAATACACGGGAGAGGAAGACATTCCAATTTTGAGAATCAAAACAAAATAGAGGACGGCAACTTTTTATTTCAAGTCTCTGCCACTTTGGTTGCTTCCAAATGACTGGCAGATTGTTGTAGATCTGGACTCTATCTCTGCAAGCTTCCAGTCTTAAAATGTATCCTTTCTCTCATTTTCTCTTTCCCTTTTCTTATTCTTCTTCTACTTGTCTTCTGTCTTTTCTTCCATCCTCCTCCTCCAATTACAAAAAGATGTAGGATGTTATTTGTGCATTATCTACTAAGATGGTCTTACTAGATAATGCACAAATAACATCCTACATCTACCCATTCCTCTTTGGTTCAGTTCTGATATAATATTACCTGGGTTTTTAATGATTGTTAGATCAGAAATATATCAGTGTTTCCCTGTTCTTGCCCCTTCCCACTTCATGTTTCAATTTGTGTGTTGGACCTTCCTTTTATAAATGAACTATTGTTGGGATTTTGATTGGTATGGTTGGTTGCAATCATTCCAGAAAGAGAGGAAAATGGAAGAAACCTGTGATATACTTGGAATTTCCCATGCATGGTTAGGAAAAGTTTGGCAGACTACAATCCTTGATTTAGTTTCATGCAGCCTAACGTCAAAAACATGTGAGGAAGTGGCTTGTCCCTTTCCCAGCAGTCCACTGGTAGAGAAAGGAGATGACGAGAAATGTGGGTGGCAGAGAGAAGAGGTATGGGCTTGCTCACATTTGGATCTGGCCTTACCTGCTACTAGCTTGTGCCATCAAACAGATTACCAACTCTTGAGAACTTGAAGCAGAAAAAAGGATGCCTACGCTGCTTTAAAAGACCAGGCAAGTGTTATGTCTGCATTGCATCAGAGGAACACTGCCATTATCACTACTGCTCCAGGGAAACAGGAATGGGCTGAATGTCAAACACTGGCACTAATATGATTCTTTCAGCAAGTATCAAATTGAAGAAAATCAGCTGTGCTCTATTTAACTGATTTTGAAAAATAATGCTTGAAGAGTAGCAAAATATGACACTTCCCTGTCTTTTGTCTTAAATCGACAAATCTTTATGACAAGTAGAATAGCGCAGATATCATGAACAAAAGATGGCTTCTGTTTGCCTTCATGGGGGCTATAGCAGATACAACAAGACTGTTTTTATCCTTAAAGTATGATGCCTGTATTTTGAAGTCAGGAGGAAATATTTACCCACCACCCAGTTAAACTGGAATAGACAGTAGGATTTATCCTCCATATATTCTCATCTACCTCTAGAGACTATGTAGAACTATTTAAGTGTAGTAAGTTTGAAACAATACAGGCAATCTTGATTTTTATTTCTCTAATAGCAAGAATGACTCCATTTACATTAATATTGACCTCTTTTTCCTCCCCAGGATTACCAAAAAAATTGGTATTTTGACAACTGTTGAAAAAGAGATAATGAATATTAGTGCTGCTATGAAGTCTGAAAAGACCAAATGTGAGAATTCAAGTATCAACTGAGTGAAAACAAAATTTATCTATGTATGTAAAATGTGTGTAGTACTTGAACTCTAAAAACCATGTATTTTTATTACTTTTTTAAAAAGAATAATACGTGTTAAAAAGGACTCTGTTTAGTAATATACTCCAGATGGGATACATGAAACTTGGCACGCAGTACTGTTGAATGAAATCTTATGCTAGAAATAGCTGAGTTGGGGAAATTGAAAATAAATTGAGGAGATTAGAACTATGTGTAAAGAACCATCTATTTTCCAATAACTGTGTTAGATAGGAAGCCAAAATGTGTGAAAATTGCATCCCACTTAAAACCCCCCCTTTTTTTTGTATATCTCATTTTGTATACCTCTGGGCCTGAGAGGTACATAGACAGGGGAGATATGCTTGCTCAGCGGCAAAGCACATGCTGTGCATCCCCCCCCCCTTTTTTTTGTATATCTCATAAGGTCTGGGCCTGAGAGGTACATAGACAGGGGAGATATGCTTGCTCAGCGGCAAAGCACATGCTGTGCATCCAGGAGGTGCCAAGGGTCATTCCCTGGCATCTCGAGGTAGTGCGGAGAAGCGCTAAATCATCAGAGTAAGTCAGTGAGATAAGTTGACTGAAAAGCCAGCAGGGGATGATTTAGGGCACAGGTGATATTTAACCAGTAAGGAGTGCTTGTTTTCATTTAGAGAAGGAATGTGAATTAGTGGCCTTCAGGGCTGGGGGTGTTTTCTTGCTTACAGTTCCCACCAGCTCAGGTCATTCATGGTCCTCTGATGGAAGCTGGACTGGTGATGGGGAGAAATGGTGGGGAAAAATGTATTTGGTTAGTCATGTTCACATCTGGATATGTGTGTGCATGGACATGACGGAAGAAAGAAAGCCAAAGCTGTTTCTACAGTTCCCACTAATAAACTGAGCAGTGCAAAACTACTTGCATCTGAGGGTTAACTGTTCTATTTTAGATTATTGTTCAGAAACTGGATTAGAATTGCTGAGTGTATTCTTGCTGTTTCAGGTGGTATCTAATGCCAATAATATTTATATAATTCCTTTACTGAAGCAAATAGGCCCCTGCCCCGCCAAGTTCATAACCTACATTTTGTAGTGAAAGTGTGGCTTGTTTTTCCCCCAATGAAAAGCATTTTGCTCTTATTTTCTCTCCTTTGTTATGGATTTTTTCTCCCTCAAACTTAAAAAAGAGCAATAGGCAAACATTAGGCAGGTTACAACTGGGAGGTGTGGGCCTCATAACATGCTATTAATGGGACAGGACTATTATGTAAAATGAAAGATTCATCAGAAAGCACACAGTCTTCTTCAACATGCCTCAGTCTTTCTGGAACATTGCCACCTCACCCATCATGGCAAATGATTATCAGTGCTGAAGTCCCAAAGTCAGGGAAGGGCCAAGGTTCCCCATCCACTTGCAGGTATACGAAGCAGTAATACTCCTAGTGTACAGCTGTGTAGAACCTATTGCCATCAACTGCTATAATGGACAGATGACTTTAGGAAAGAAAACGGGGGGCGGGGAGGATATTGTCCCAGCTGAGTGGTTCTTAACCTTTGGTTTCTTCAGATATTTTGGACTTCCAACTCCCAGAAGCCCTAATCAGTGGAAGTCAAAAATATCTGGAGTTTCCAAAGTTAAGCCTCACTGCCCTACCTTACAGGAAGTAATGGACCTAGCTGGTACTCCATGCTGGTACTCCAAGCAACAAGCTGGGGGGTTTAAACTCCGCATGTAAGGAACCTGCTGCAATATCTGGAGGTGGGGGTCCCGCCCCTTTCCCTCCTTTTCTGTCGCCCTCCTGCTTGGGATCAGCCGCTGTGTGGGGGCTTCCCCTGGTAGGGGCCAGTGCGTGGAAGGGCCCATGACCGGGCAGCGCTCTTCTTTCACGCGCAAACCAGCCAAAAAAGGGCCACTGGCAGGAGAAGGTGGTCGCCTTGAATGCCCAGTTCCATTCAGGCCCGGGTGCCTTCTGGAGAAGGGCGAATAACTCAGCAGCCGTCAAAGCTGTCGCCCGCCGCGGGCTTGGTGGGCGCTGGAGCCTGTGAGCGCCGGCCTCTCGGCAGCAGGCGCTCGGGCGGCAGCGGCTCCTCCTCCTCCTCCCCCCCCCTCTCCGCGGGGACTCCCGATCCCAGGCGCCCCCGGGTTGCCTTTCAGCTGCAAGCCAGCCGCGAGTCTCCTGCGCGTGAGAACGGGGGGCAGGTGGTCTCACCTCCGTGCCGCCTTCAGGAGAGCCGCTTCTTTCGGCCCCTCCTTCCCTCCTCTGTGTGTGGGGCGGATTGCTCCTAATTGCCTACACCGGAAAGCCATTTATCCCTCCTTCTGAAGCCGACCTGACGACAGCGGAAGCCTTCTTCGCTTGGTGCTGTTTTTTCTGCTCCTGCTCCTCCTCAGCCCGCGCGTCGAAACCAGCGGAGCGAAAGCGAATCCCACGCCTGTCTCCGGGGAGACTTTGGGCTGTGCGCGTGGGTGAGGG